TTTATTGTAATAGATTTTAAAAAACCTAAAACGTTTTGTGTCTTCGACCGTTTGCATATACCTGTATATCTGCGACCCTATATATTACCGGCCAGAGGACTTAATATCGTTTGTTTTCCTAAAAAATAGTACGAATGACGTGGCAACTGGCAACCAGATTGGAACCTGTTCAATCAACTTTAAAAATGCTTTCCGGAACACCTAGGCGGACTTTCCATAAAAGTAAATGTATTCGGAACCACATCGTCTGCCTCTCGCGACTGCATTATCCCCATAAACCCTATTTTGAAGTGCGTTACCCGCCCGACGCCGAATTTTATCATTAATTTGTCATTCCCACCGACTCTGATTGATGGCGACGGGATTCAAACGGCGTAGAGCCGCGCGGAACGGCTAAAAATAGACCTTTGAGGGCATTATTCAAACTGTTTCCTTCGCACTTTTTGCGTCATTTGTTCGCGAAATTAATAGATTAAGGCTTTGGATTTCCTTTTGTTCTTTTAGTACCGAGCCGCATTATTAATGATGTATTCGATTAAATGAAGTCAGAGGGGCGGCGCCACGTTCTCTTTGAAGTTAAGATTAAATTTTCGGTGCTAATAGGGTTAGGAAGTATCAGATATCGCACCTTTATGCTTGGCTAGCTGGGAATAAAAGTATTCCAGTCTAAGTTTGCCGTGGTTCATCCAATATGACAGAAACAAAAGATACACAGTAACAATGAAAACATCCTGTATATAATTAGTGCGAATATAGGTACTCTAGATGTTGTTTCACTGTATTTAACAGTAAACTTTTGTTATGTAAAATAATAATGACAAACATTTTCAAGTGACTGTCAGTGTCAAAATACAAATTTATTCGTTTTTTGACAAACGAGAATCAAACATTAAACACTAGCTTCGTGGTTAGCTCGTATTTTAGTCAATTTCCTTAGCTCAAAATTTTGCGATATAATTTGATGTATAATGCGGTACACCGCAATAAAATCAGCATATCAATATGCAAATGAACAAAAATTATAAATGCTAATAGCGCCATCGAATGCCGCGAGCTGTTTCTATGAAAATTTGTTTATGTGCATTCAAAACTCAAAATGACGGTGTTTCGTTCTCAAAATGGTTTCGATGAGATTTGGTAAAAGAATAAATTTGCCCAATTTACCGGCAGAACAGATATAGTTTCAACATGATGGGGCTCCTTCACATTTTGTACGGGCATATCTAGATGAAACTTTTCCAGATAAATATATTGAACGCAGAGAAGCAATTGAATGGCCAGCTAGGTGTCTCGATATGACCCCGCTTGCCTTTCTTTCTATGGAGTCACATAAAATTGTAGTCAACAAAAATATGCCGCAAGATATCGAAGAGTTGCAGGAAAGGGTAAGGCATGAGATTTCCACTATTCCTCCCAACACCCTTCTAGATTCACCACAAAATTTTGTTCAGCGAATTCATTACTGTTAGGAGGTGAACAATTTGAGCACCTTACAAAATAGAATTCCAAAGAAAATATTTATTAAAACTTGTTTTCTCTCTTTGTTTATTCTGGCATAAATATTGTTTTCATAAAATTTAAAATGTTCAGGACATTCATTCAACTCCATCGACCGAGTTTCTTATCTTTCTAGGAATAACCTCAAACAAAATCGAAATTAATTAGAGCCACCAAGTTATTTCCCTGATGAAAGACCATATAAGTAGGAACACTCGACCTTCGCGTTTGCAATTAAGATAAAGGCATATCTCCCGATACGTGGGATGTTTAGAGTCCTGCGGAACCCTTGCGTGTTAAATCAGTTAAATTTTACCATCAGCTGGGTCATTAGTGATCCCGCGCGGTTCTATTTTAACTGGGTCTTAAATCGAATCGCAAATCGAATACATCGTTTGCCGCAGATGGAAAAGCCGCATTAAGTGCGGGTTATTATTACATTTGTATACAGGATGATACAGTTTTAAAGAAACAAGCTTCCTATGTTCGTGCAGATCATAGATACGAGTAAAGAATCACATCTCCGAAGGTTTCAGCGCATCGTATATCATTCCACTCAAGGCGAAATTTTTTATTGTATAAATTTAACAGAATCCTTCCTAATAACTTAGCGTGATAGTTGGAAGTAAATAATGCCTGATAATTTCATTTTCCTTTTCTTTTTATTACATTCTACGGGACAATTCTAGCTAATGGCCTCATAAACATGCCACAACTGAACGTTTGTAGATAAGAAAGGTGTTTTAATTTTTCTATTAATTTGTGTCATTTCATATGGATTTATTTTCGTAATCTATTTAAAAAAATATGCGAAGATGGAAAATAATAGGACATATTTCTGGAAGTATGTTTACAACAGTACAATCCAAAATGACAGTTGTACCAACGAAATAAAGCGATTCTCTGTAAAGGTTGGTGGAAATCAATTAGTTCCAAATCGGTCTTGACAGCTACACGATTCTCGTTTCAGGCAAAAATCTAAATCCCACTTCTGATTTAACTTTCAGTGGGCGTTCGATAAAATTAATTGAGATTATATTTACTTAAATTTGTAACACGCCATTCACAAAGTAAGTACATCTGTCTAAAGGAATATATGTATCGGGATTTCTTTTGCATAATGTTATTCATGTACATATAAAAAAATTGGATAAGCTTTCTTTGCAACCCAGAACTTTTAGTAAATAGGAATAAAAAATATGTAAATATGCATATAATATTAACAAAATGAATATGAATATTTATCTCTCTGTTTTGGTTCCTGTGAAAGTATTACCTCAAATTGTGTACATTTTAAGCAGTTAACTTTTTAAGTTTCACGGCATAATGTAGTAAAAAATTAAGATTTTCTTATCTTGATTCCTTTATTTATTTAGGTAGATTTAACAATGCGGCAGCGGTAAAAAATGTTACGTTCAACATTTCATTAAGAAACTCAATTTCTTAAATAAATAGTTTTTATGCATTCAAATAAACATGACAAATTCGAATTTGTCCGAAATTAGGAGAGTCGAACTAATCTATAAGTACCGTGCACACAATGTATCTCCTTAGCGTTAGAAATCTTTAACTTGCCTATGGTGCTTTTGGACTAGGCTATGTGGGGGCAGACTTGCTCTTAGAACCCTTAGACCCCCCCCCCTGCTGTTGGTTTCAGTTGTTATAACCGCATCTAATGTTCTCATATCAAAATTGCTAAAAAATCGTAAAAAATATGTTTTAGTTATGATTACTCTCTGGAGACACGCAGTTTTTTGTGGCATATGTCATTTTTTCCCATTTTAGTCTAGTCTCTTCAATGAAAAAAAAACAAATTAATAAAACCTGTTTTTGCACCGATATGGATTTTAATTTCAAATTTTTAACCCTCCTATAAAGACACTCCAGTACTCCAGGCAAATGACGTCTGGATCCCGATATTGGCCCTTGAAAGTGGGTTAAGCTTTTATGAACTTGGGAAAACAAATAAAATGCCCGAGGTACTGAGAGTTCATACTGTTTGACCGCATTGTAATTGCTTTATGAAAATTCCGGGAACTCCCAAAGACATTGGGAAATATTGGAGGGAAAATCGATAAGCTTTTTATTATATTGCTGCAAGCTTACATTTTTATGGAAGCGCTGTGTATTTTGGGAAGGCTCGTTTAAGCGTAAACTAGCCCGAAGCAATTTTATTTTATCGTTTTTCGCTGAGCGAGATAAAACTTTTAATATTTCCCAATATTTTATATTTCTCTCTCGAAATATATTTGTTTCTAAGAGTACAGTTTTCATTAAAAAAACGGTGACGTATAAAACTAGGGTGACGTATAAAACTTTACCAAAACTGCAAAAAATAAGATACTTGAATTTTTAAATTTTCAAGTATCTAGATTCTAGATGCTTTATTTGAGGTTGTGCAACATTTTGAAAATTCGAAAATTTTATTTCAAATTTTTTTTTTCAAAAAATTATTTTGCAAAAACTATAGAACTGATTTAAATGAAATTTAGTGTGTTGTTTTATTATACTCTAAAGTTTTTTTTCTCTCAAAATTAGAATGCCCTCGGAGCAATTAAAATATTTTTTAAAAATTATCCAAAAAACTTGATTATTTTGCCTTTTTTTCATCAATTATTGCTACTTTGCAATATCGGTAATAAATTTAAACATTTTTAACTTACAGTATATTGTGCAAAATTCAATTCTAAAACTTTTTTCCTCTTCAACATTCTTCCAAAATGCTTAGGTTCCAAGATATAAGTAAAAAAAAATTGTTTAAACATCTTTGCAATTTTGAAAATGTTCCGGACCTCGCCCAGATCTCGGGATCTACAACTTTATTATGCGAGTTGTACTGAAGGTACAAAATCCAGAAAAAACGTGCTTGCCCCCTCTCACATCCACCTCAAAACAGATCCGCCTTGGTCTAACGTAATCTGCTTCATATCCATAATATATCGGACCCTTACTGGGTTTCCAACAAATTTATATTTTTACCAATAAACGCAAATCATGTACCAAATTTGATTGCTCTATGTGAAAGCATTGCTGAAATATTATTGTTTCTCGAAATTTAACACTCATCTTCAGAGGCCCATATCTCTTCAATGGTACATCTCAGGAAAAAATGTTACATGACAAATCGGCATATTTTAAGTTCCTCCACACTTGCCTGCTCTGAGTCGGTAGAATTATGAAACACCCTGTAAATATTCTCGGTTCCTTGATCTTACCAAAGCGTTTTATTGTGTCACATTCAATTCCCAATTGCCTTATTATGGTACCGCAAGGATCAGTTCTTGGCCCGATTCTCTTTTTAATGCATATTAACGATTTGGCTCGTGTGAATGATTCAGTTTTAACTATTTAATTTGTCGATGATACTAATCTCACTAGAACAACAGTCCTATAATTGATGATTTAATAAAAAAATATAACAATATAAAAAAGTAAGTAAGGATTTTACCTCGTTATCTTTATTATGCTCGTATTTCGCTGAAAATTAAGAATGAGGGACTTACTTTCTGTAGGAGATAAGGCCTATTGTCGAGTTCTTCTGGACTTAAATTATTGTTGGCACAACTCGCTTCGATGGGCTCAGCTCTGTTAGCTTTTAGGACCCTCACAGCCTGAAGTCTTTTTCTCAAGTTTTGTAGAGCGCGAGCCTCTTCCCTCTTGCGACTGGGCTGAGGAAATTAAGTCTTTATTAATTCCCATCCGCAACTAATATACGGTTGGGTAAAATTTAATGCTTTATAAAACACAGTAATATAAAATAAGCTCTACTGAAACTGGTTGTTTATGTGTCACGATATAAAACGTCGACAGACCGGAAATATTTCCTACTAGGTGATTAAGTAGAGCTTTATTCACTCAAATTATAGTGTAAAGTTAGTTATTAAGGCACTATTTGCATAATTTGTGTTGTTGTGTCGAATGTACATATAAATATTAAATGTTACATAAATAAAATGTGAAGCAATTCAAAGTTGTATGACGAAAATCGCATCTCAATATCGTTTAAGTGACACAGGGCGTTTTTCTTTTTTAACCGCGCTCTGTAAGTTTGAATAATTTTTTTGCTTGTGAAAATTTAACTAAATTAAAGCCTTTATCTTTTTTTTATGTTAAAATGTCGCTAAGTTTATAATTTTATAAATCGCAGTTTCTTTTTTATTTTATTTTCCTGGCCTTTCCGAGGGTTTCAAGTCGACGCGTTCCGGATGCAAGATTACATAACCAAAAAACAAAACAACCGCCCCCACCTACCTGGAAAGCCGGTGCGGAGGGAAGGATGGCAAACTGCGGCTCAGCTGGTTGTCTGGCCGCGCTCAGCAGCCGCTTGCTCACCGGCGTCCGCGGCTTCTGACACTCCGTCAGCAGCTGAATGCCGGGGATGCTGGGCGGGCAGATGGACGTCTGAGAGGCGATTCTCGGCAGCTCCATGCCTCTCCGGGCACAGCATCCCGCTACCAGGCGTCGGGACCGAACTTCGAGGGCTGACTACACCGACTGCTCGCGCTCGCGAGGGCGCAGAGGGAGTGCGTGCGCCTATGGTGGCGCTGCCGGCCTCGGGAGTAGCAGGAGACGCGGAAAGTCGAGGGTGTAAGGAGGGTGCACCAACGGGTGGCGGTTTGGACGGAAATCAGAAGTGGGATACAAGTCGCCGCATGGCCAATTTAATGATATTCTACAGTAACGAGTCTAGATATTGCATTAACTGTTTATTTGTGGTGTTTATTTAATTTGACATTTCCACAATTAAATGAAAAATCAAATTGTTTAATACACAGGGTGATTCACAAATGGTGATCAAAAAACTCACTCGCAAATCAGGCCTTTGTCGAAAAACATAAGAGACCTGTTACATTGCAGGTACTTTATTGCACGACTTCCACCCACAGAGGGCGAAACGCAATGTTTTAATTGCCAGTGTTGCGAGAAACAACTATTCCGCGAGCTATATGCCCTGACCGGCATTGAATTATATTCGCAACACCTAATGCAACAGCTAGGATCGTTCGTCAGTTTAAACCACCAAAAAAAAAGAAAAAATACATTATTTATTTAAATTTGCAAAGGTACGTTTTTTCGTTAATAATATTTAGGATAGATTATCGATAGTGGACGGTTCTGTAGTCCACTTTCTAGTACTTTTCAGCATAAAAATGTCTCTTTAGAATAAACTTCAAGTCAGCTTTCTTTTTACAAACGATCTACAAAATTTACAAATAACTTATATGGCGGGAAACGACTACTGTGCGGACTACACGTCTAAACCAACATAGAATTATACTAGCAAAATTCAACATTTCGGACTTATTAGTCCTCTTCAGTATGTCATGTGATGAATGACCTGGCAATTTTATATGTCTTAACTACAGACATGGAGTGAGCAGCATTGGCAGATAGCGACCTGTAATTTCGTAGGTGCCAGGGAAGCGCGACCAACCGGGCGAAACAAATTTTAACTGATGATATCGCAGGAAACAACCACTTTATATGCCCCAACCAGCATTGAATTATACCACCAATATCTAGTAAACAGCTAGGACCATACGTCAGGCGAATCCACCATACGTATACCGATTTCGGAGTTGTTAGACCTCATCAGTATATTATAAGTGAGGCAACTGATAATTGATCAGGCTATTGATGACGAGTTATCTACTGACAAGAAGTCCATTCCATTTTTTCTTAGTACAGTTCTTGCATTTAATTTTTTTTTAATTGAACAGTGTATTGTACATCAACACAAAATCAGGAAGTACAAACTTTGAAAATCCAGTTCAACTGTAGCAAACTGAGCAAAAATAAATTGTACGTAAAATATTGCTCTATTTAAAGATTAAATTAGATAATTTGTATTCTGAAAGAACGATCTGGAATTAGCCATTGGAGAATTTAATTAAAGGCAGGGAAAAGGTGATCAACTGAGTAATTTACTCATTTTAATTTACAAAACAAGGTAATTTCTACGTAAATTCACACTAATTTCGACACAGAAAACCTTCAAGTCTGCTTGAGCTACTTGTATTTTTTTATTGAGGTTTATGCTCAAACAAAACTGAAAAACGGATATGTAACCTTACAAATACAAAAAATAGGAAATGGATATCGAGTTAATTATTTTTTATCGTTTATTTATGTTCATAGAAATTATACTTACCTTCTGACTTCTAAAAATACTGTGAAAAATAATCCATGACTTTCAAAAGGTGGATGGAAATAAAGATGAACGCATCTACCGTATATTTTTATTAATATTCATTTATATATATATTATAAAACTACAATGGCGATCATGCAAAAGTATACATTATACAAATTTTCCATTAGTTACATATGTCACACATAAGGAACCTTTTTTTGAGTATTTCTCTTAACAACTCGTATTTTTTTACAATAAATATATATATAAATTACACGTCACAAGTCACTTCTAGTAGGTAAACAATATCGAATAAAATTACCGAGCAACTCGTGCAATTATCATATTGGAAGTACGATCATTTCACCTAAATTTGATTTAATTTTTCGTATATCTAATTATCGGTACGACACCCCTTTGACTAAATCAACATAGTTGCCCTTTTTGTACTGGTAATTGCCCCTTTCTTTTATATCGTACATTGCATCCCATTTCCGATGTCACGTCGTTATTAAACCCAGAAAGTTGCAATTTTCGTTGGCCCCTTTTTTGAGGGTAATATTCAGGTTAAGATAGATTTTCAGTAATATGAGTTTTTGAAATTGAAAAAAAGGATAGAGTTGGCCCTGACTGAAAACAAATGCATTACTATATAGAATTTGGTGCCACGATATAGTTGGCTATGGACAAAATAAATTCATATAGTTAACGGGGTAAACAGAAACTTAAAAAAATTTGGTGTCTGCTGATATGCTCTATAAAAGCAAAAAAAAACAAATTTCTGATTTAGTTTCTGTCTATCTATCTCATTGACTGTCATTTTTTACTTCCATAGCCAGCTGTATACAACAATAACACCAAGTTTTGTTTAGTAATGCAATTGTTTTTAGTCAAGGCCTACTTCTTCTCGTTTTTAAAGGAAATGACTATAACTTTTTTATTTTTTGAGATAAGTATGACAAATTATATATTTTTGGAACGCACAGAACACCCACTTTTCAACTAGACCCTTCGCTATGGCCAACCATGTATATAATTTTGATTTGTAAGTCCAAGACCATCAAAATCATTAAAAAATTAAGTACACCATTGGGTTTTAAGAGATTTTCCTTAAACTTTGTGTCTTAATAGTAACAATCGAGGATCTCTATATGACATCTAAAACGGAATGCACTGTACAGTTCGATATGCAGAAAATATATCGAAAACTATTTTTTTTATACAAAACTACAACGCTACGACTTTCAGTCGAGAATTAAACTAAACGTTCAACAAAGAAATTCAACTTCCCGTTTCCAACGTTACAGAAGGGACAAATCCGTGCATTACTCTAAGAAAGCAAAGGTGGATTTCACAAATTTAAATACAATAAAAATTTTCCGCCCCTCCGCGAGTTCTTGTCGAGGAGCCGTCAGTCTTTAGTTCTACTTAAGCTAGAAAAACCGCGCTTAATAAATCCCGAGGCGCGGGTGTGTAAACTGCAGTCTTTATCGGTATCTTTATTTTTTGGCTTGAAATATGAACACTGTAATTACTTTAAGAACCACGATAGGCTTGACTAAAACGCCAATTGGTCGAGACCCTTTGCGAAATCGCCCCTCCAACGATGCAGTCTCTTAGAATAACGACGGACGGATATTTCGTCAAAACGATGTCGCAGGAACAATATAAACACGATTAAATATACCTTTTGAGATCAAAATGTAGCTATTGCACGTACGTAAGTTAAAAAAAATAAGTCTTGGGTGGGTTAATATCGAACATCAGCCAGTCTTAGGAAATTAGTCTCTTTGAAATTTGTATTAATACGTAAACAGTCCTGTGATGAGTATTGAATCGTCCCGTAAGCAACGCATTTTGACTGCGGGTGCTTAAACGTTATTTTCTTATAGCAGTGTGGAAAAAGTTAAAATGGAGTGCAACAAAACCAAAAAATAAAATAAAACAATTCAAACAAAACGAATAATCAAAAAATAAACAAACAAAACTTTCACTGATCCATTTTTAATTTAAATAAATTAAATTATTTGCAAAACGTATGACTATTTTTGTTGGAAGTCCAATCGTTTGCAGTCAAAATGTAATTTTTTTAACAAGCCCAATTTTACTATACAGCTTAACACCGAACAACAAGTAACAACTACTATCGTACCGAGGAAGACATCGCTTACGAGACGACCCATAAAACCACTATAAAACAGTACGGGCTTATATAATAGTTACCTATTAACATTTTCTTCATTTTCAGGGTTAACATACAGACGAACCGCAAGTATATAAGCCCGACTAGAGGATATCAACTAACAGAGCGTTAAAAGAACTTACAATAAGTTAATTATTTACTTTTCGTTTATAAACGTTTAAATTATCCCAAAAACGGCAACAACACACCGACATAACATTTAAAATTAGTCTTACAGTTAAGTTAGTTTAACGTCGCAAAGTCTTGATTTGTGTAAAAACAGTCGGAAATAAAAATGAGATCCAATGATATGGCACATAAAATTTTGTTCTGTTTTCTGAGCGTTTCTCGGTTTTACCTGGCTTCGAATTTTGTGAAATGCTAAACTAGGTGTCGCGGCAAAAATGTAAAAAACTACAACTACGAAAATTAATAAAATTTTGACGAAAAGCAGTCTAATGTGGAATGTGTTGCGTGGATAATACAGGGTGTCCCAATCTGGAGGATTTTAGCGAAGATGAACTAAATCTATTTCTGTGCAAAGTTGTGCGTTTAATCACTAGAGGGCGCCTCTAGCTTTGGCAACAAAATTTAAGTCATAAATCTTTCAAATTGGCGAATTATTTCTATGCTCAGAAAGAAAATTTTCATGACGAAGAAATATCGAATGGAATTTGCGAAATAAATAATTTACTGACACTAAGATCTCGTACAATTTCTTTTTCCGTAATCAACTGACAAAACTTTTTATCAACTTTAGCACTTTTTAGCGAATAAACGAAACAATTTTTCTCATTTTGGCTCCAAGAATGTGTACGGAAACAGACAACTTTAAATATTTGGCGAAATCATTTTTGGTACTTCCCAGAGAGAAATTTTAAAGTACTGGAAAAACTTTTTTCAACGTTTCTGGAGACATTCCCCGTAAACTATGGGAGATTTTGCTGAAAGAAATTTAAGATTTCATATTTGTTGCCAAATATCATCAATGTTGCACTCAAATATACAGGGTGGGCCATTAGTGCGAGAAAGTAAATTAACTCTTGTTATTCGTCATACAGGAAAAAAGTTTATATAAAAGTTGTACAGAATCAAAAATCCTAAAGGACAAAATTAATTTGAAACATTTTTTATATAAACTTTTTTTCTGTATTGCGAATAACAAGGGAGTTATTTTACTTTCTCACACTAAAGGCCCACCCTGTATATGAAATATTGGGACACACCATATAAATGACTAAAACTTCACTGAAACTTTTTTTTACTATAAAAATCAGCTTAAGACACTGCATGGTTAAAATAGTCCAGACATAGCTAAATAACTGAAAAATTACAACGCTTAAACTGAAAATATTAATAGACAGTTCCCGGTTCCAAAAACACATTTTTCTTTACCCAGGGAAATAAAATTTTGCCACATAGAAGTATGTATGCTCAAAATAAACACTCAGTTTTCACTTCCGTACGAGTTAACACCAGAATCAACATTTCACAAAATTCGCAGCGCAATTACAAAAAAAATCATTCGTAAAGGGAACAAACACCTCAGAAAATACCCAGGCNAAAACTATATATATCATAATATAAACAGTTTAACATTTTAGTGCAGGGTTGCCACGTTACACAGAAAATTCTTCGAATTTTGGAAAAAACATGACCTCAAAGTTCTATTAACTTTCAACTACTAACACTTGGAGCAAAAATATTTGACAGAGTTATAGAAAAAAAAGACTCCTATATTAGCTAATATTGATACTTTATAAAGGGCATTTTTTATAATACGATCATTTTAAGAAAGTTCAAACTTGTTTTCTAAAACTTTTCAAATGGAACACCCTGTATTTTATTGTTCTATTTTATTCACATATCAGTCCACTTCAACTTTTATTAAGTATGTTCTTCATCTAAAGTTGTTAGTTTTCAAGATATAGCAACATTTCTGGAAAAACCTAATTTTTATTGTTTCGGGTCGCACGAAATGGCTTTGGAAAAAATTGTCACATTGTGTCAACTTGTCAGTTCATAATTTATCATTCCATTTCGAGTTAATTTTATTAGTTAATATTTCTTTGTGGTATTTTATAAAATAATAAAAATTAAGTTTTTTCACAAATGTTGGTATATCTTAAAAACTAACATATAGAACATGCTTAATAAAAGTTGAAGTGGACCGATTTGTGAATAAAATAGAACAATAAAATACAGGGTGTTCTATTTGAAAAATTTTAGAAAATCAAGTTTAAACTTTCTAAAAAAGATTGTATTATAAAAAATGCCCTGTATAAAATATTGATATTAGCTAATATAGGAGTCTTTGCCTAACATTTGCCTATAACTCTGCCAAATATTTTTTCTCCAAGTGTTAGTAGTTGAAAGTTAATACAACTTCTTCGAGGTCATGTTTTTTTCCAAAATTTGAAGAATTTTCTACATAACTTGGCAACCCCGCACTAAAATGTTAAATTAAACTGTTTATATTGCCATATATAGAATTTTCTCAGAAATCCATATGTTTAAAAATATACAGGGTGTTCCATTTAAAAAATGTAATATTTGGTGTGTCCCGTTTTTACTCATCGCCCTGTGTGTTTCAAATTAATTTTTGGATTCTATACAACTTTTATATAAACTTTTTTTCTGTATTATGAGTAACAAGGGAGTTATTTTACTTTCTCACACTAACGGCCCACTCTGTATATGAAATATTGGGACACACCGTATAAATGACTAAAACATCACTGAAACTATTTTTTTTTACTGTAAAAATCAGATTAAGACACTGCACGGTTAAAATAGTCCAGACATAGCTAAATAACCCAAAAATTAAACCGCTTAAACTGAAAATTCTTTACCCAGGAAATAAAAGTTTACCACATAGAAGTATGTATGCTCAAAATAAACACTCAGTTTTCACTTCCGTNCTGACAAAACTTTTTATCAACTTTAGCACTTTTTAGCAGATAAACAAAATAATTTTTCTCATTTTGGCTCCAAGAATGTGTACGGAAACAGACAACTTTAAATATTTGGCGAAATCATTTTTGGTACTTCCCAGAGAGAAATTTTAAAGTACTGGAAAAACTTTTTTCAACGTTTCTGGAGACATTCCCCGTAAACTATGGGAGATTTTGCTGAAAGAAATTTAAGATTTCATATTTGTTGCCAAATATCATCAATGTTGCACTCAAATATACAGGGTGGGCCATTAGTGCGAGAAAGTAAATTAACTCTTGTTATTCGTCATACAGGAAAAAAGTTTATATAAAAGTTGTACAGAATCAAAAATCCTAAAGGACAAAATTAATTTGAAACATTTTTTATATAAACTTTTTTTCTGTATTGCGAATAACAAGGGAGTTATTTTACTTTCTCACACTAAAGGCCCACCCTGTATATGAAATATTGGGACACACCATATAAATGACTAAAACTTCACTGAAACTTTTTTTTACTATAAAAATCAGCTTAAGACACTGCATGGTTAAAATAGTCCAGACATAGCTAAATAACTGAAAAATTACAACGCTTAAACTGAAAATATTAATAGACAGTTCCCGGTTCCAAAAACACATTTTTCTTTACCCAGGGAAATAAAATTTTGCCACATAGAAGTATGTATGCTCAAAATAAACACTCAGTTTTCACTTCCGTACGAGTTAACACCAGAATCAACATTTCACAAAATTCGCAGCGCAATTACAAAAAAAATCATTCGTAAAGGGAACAAACACCTCAGAAAATACCCAGGCGAGCAGATCCGGTAGATTGACCTCGTCGAATTACCATCGACATGATATGGCATAATGCTGGACTATTTAAGAAAAAAAAGACGTTACTGCGGAGTAACCAGAATCTCGAGAGTATTATCGTCGAACTTGTGGTTGTTCCTGATGTGGGAACTCAAGTTGCCGGACTGTACAAACGCTTTGTCGCAAAAATGGCATTTGAAAGGCTTCTCGTCCGTGTGCAGACGGATATGATTGTTCAAGTTACCGGACTGGGTGAAGGCTCTGTCGCAGTGTGGACATTTGAAAGGCTTTTCACCTGAAATAGAAGTTACCATACAGTCGGACCCAACCGCCGAGTCTACTTCTCCATTCGTAGTACAAGGCGTTAATTAAGCACTTCGACAAACTTTAAGATAGACTAGAAACACCAGAAATCCACCTTAATTAACACCCTGTGATTTTTTTCTTAAATTTCTGATACATACACAATAAAAAACAAAATCGAAAGACTACACTGACCGCGTACTCACCAGTGTGCACCCGCATGTGGTTTACCAAGTTACACGACTGCGAAAATGACTTGTGGCAGACCTCGCACACATAAGGCTTGTCCCCGGTGTGCGTTCGCATGTGGATGGCGAGGTTGCTTTGGGTATTGAACGCCTTCATGCAATAGGTGCACGAGAGGCGGTCCTCCGGAGCCCGACTTACCATTTCATGCTTGAGTAAGTGCGTCTTCATTCTACGGAAGTACTTTTTACAAATAGGACACTTCTCTAGGGGGTTAGATTTACGTTTCGCGTAGGTATCTTCTGCGTTTAAGGCTTCGTCTAACGAGACACGACGCACTTTCTCGCGGGGGGCCCTGCAAATAGATCACAAACTGAAGTTAACTGCAAACTTGTAAAATGTATGATTAATTTTTATTTACTCAAATATTAATTCTTGATGTAACAAAAATAAATTTTTATCAAAAACTATTTAAAATTTTTTTACCTGATATAACTTTGTACTTTCACTAATTTGCTATCATCCTTGGAAGGCGAATATTCTTTTTCAAATAGTCTAATTTTTATTTGTGGCCTTTTTCTCTTCACTGGTATAATCGAAATTTCGGGACCTATCGAATTTATTATATCATCTTTATCAATATTTTCCATTGATAGGGGATCAGTTTCTGAATCGTCGTCATCTTTGCTATTAAACTAAAAAAAAAACAAACATTTTAAACTAGAATATAAAAATAATTATTTTTTTATGATATCAAAAATCAGTCTAATATTTTTTTATTGCCCAGGAAAATATTAAATGTGAATAAAAATAAAATGACTTTCCATAAAAAAGATCATAAAACGCGATGCATCAATAAAAATAAAACTGAAAACAGAAAATCAATACACAATTTTACTTCCACGTTTTACTACTTATACGCGTGTTTACCATCTTTCAAGATATAAATAATGTAAAAAAAAACACTTACAGTTTCTTCATCCACATCCCCATCATTAATAATTACAACTGGTTCTAAAGACGAATGAAATTCATCAGAATCTCTAGATTCCATATTTTGCAAAGGCTGCAAAAGAAACCCTTTTTTAGATACATGAAGTCGTGCATGGAAAAGTTATTTATGTTTACAAGCTTCGCTATTATTTTTGGATTATTTTCATAGCTGTCAAAAGCCAATAAAATAAACAAACCCGTTTTATCACGTATTTTTCCAACGACTTGAATGAAATGATATGGGATTGTACGTTTTTCTTAAAGATATTACCTTAAGCTGCACTTAGCGCAGGTTGATCAAAAATAGAAGCACAAAAAAAACATCACAAACCCCCCGAACTCGATAACTTCTTAAAAAAATATACAAAAAGTGCGCTTCCACTGTCAAAAAGTTACTATCCTTTTTTATTGCATAAATCGATTCTCGATTACTGCCAACTGCAATATTATAATATGTTATACGCACTTTCCTAAATCATTAAAACATTTTGAAAGTTAAAACCTTATAAATGTCGAAAATATATAAAATGTTTCTCTATATTTCAAGTAAAACAAATGCTATTGTTTTAAGATATAAACAGCAATTAAACAATTGTTTAAATTTTGGTGCGTAGAAGTAATTTTGTGTCCTTCATGTTGGTAGCGCTGGATAAAATTAGAGAAAAATGGCTGTTAAAGTTGGCAAGGTTGTTTACTTCTTTTCGATCAAAGTTGTAGAACCGTCAACATGGGTGAGTGTAGTTTCTTATTTTTTTTAAGGAATTTATTAAAAATAAATCTATACATTTGTTTATTTAAATAGTTTTGTGATTCTATTGTAGTTAAGTGTGATAATTCTGTATCATAAACGGTTTTGTGAAAAAATATTTAATCCTGCACATAACTTTTCACCGCCATTAAATTTATGTCGAATAAAATTTTATCTTCAATCATCGCTTTAAACTTATAGTTAAATCAATACATGTTGGTAAACTCAACTTCAACAGACTTATTTTCTTGCCGAGGACGTCATATTTCAAAGAAAACATTTACTTTTTAAGGAAAACCCCGTGGTTTGAGGACTGCAAGGAAACATGTGAACCACCGTAGGGAACAGAGATGGGCGGACAAGGACTACAAAAAGGCCCATTTGGGCACACGGTGGAAGGCTAATCCATTCGGAGGAGCTTCACACGCCAAAGGAATTGTCCTGGAAAAAGTGTAAGTTAGGTTAGGTTATGGGCGGATCCACCATTAAATTATATTTAAGCATTGTGAGACCACCAAATCTGCAATTCACAGTGTTTGGTGTTATTTTCTAATACAATGCTAGATAAATTTGCCCACTGAACCATTGGGTAGACGCATCGATCGACTACACACTCTGATATGTGCGCTACAGTATTATTTAGGCCAGGGCTGATGCAGTCCGCAGGATTTCCTAGTGAATGGTTAAATTCGCATGCCAATCACAGGAAAATTCTGTGCGTTGCGTTACGCCGAAACCAGCGTTACGAGTACTTGTATAAATAAGTTTTTAGGCGATTCCAACGTATGTTAGTGAGGTTCTTTTATTTTTAGAGGAGTTGAAGCCAAGCAGCCAAATTCCGCTATCCGTAAGTGCGTCAGGGTGCAGTTGATTAAGAACGGAAAAAAAATTACGGCTTTCGTGCCTAGGGACGGTTGTTTGAATCACATCGAGGAAAACGACGAGGTTCTAGTGGCAGGTTTTGGACGAAAAGGTCACGCCGTCGGTGACATTCCCGGAGTTAGGTTTAAGGTACATGAAATTGTTTTTTTTTTTGTTATTTGCAATTTATTTCATGATGATTCACGTTATAGAGCCAATCCTATGAATTTTAATTGATTATTTCTATATTTCTCTGATTTTTTTGAAGGTTGTTATTTTCTTGTTTTTGGTGTTTGCGGGATTTTATCGTTTCTTTTTGTTTTAGGTCGTCAAAGTAGCTAATGTATCCCTTCTAGCCTTATACAAAGAGAAGAAAGAACGACCAAGATCGTAATTTATACAAGTTTTGTTAAATATAAATTTTACTTTATTCTTGTGTTTGAATAAAATGCAGGTCTGAAGTTGTATATAGTGTTTTATTGCAATAAAGTATTATATTCCGATAATATCTAAATTTACTTTATTACTAATATTAATCAATAAAAAAATTTTTTTATTGTTAACATTGAAAAATATTTCATATAAACGCACATTCTTGAAGTTCTGGTAAAGGGTATTGAATATTAATATACCGCCCCCTCTCCCGCACAAGTGTCCGACTTCTGAGCTAATCCTGGCGATTAAAATGAGGGGTACATGCAATGGCGGTTCTTGACTTGCATACCAGGGAAGGCGGAAATATTTAAGTACAAAGTATTGAAGAAAAATTTAATAAAATTGGGTCGTTTAATTTTTTTACGCATGCCAAACTGCACAATAAATTTACACTATTCCCACTGCATCTTTCACTGCTGTGCTGCTGGGACACAGTATCCATGACCACCGTTGTAAACACTACAGATTTAGGGGCGAGCTACGAGGAGCCCTCGTATTTAGCGTTTTTTCAAATGAACTTCGCTCGCAAGTCAAGTTAAATTGACTGCACGTTACAAATTTAACAAACTTTATTTCTCAGTTTACTCGTCGGTGTCAATTATTGACTAAATTTTCATCATTCCGATACCCTCTATGGTAGGATCATATTCGATGCAAAGTAATAAATCATTGCCTGTCAAGGGATCCAGTGCCATACGTTTTTAAGGGTTTTAGAAATTGAATAATTTTATACATTATGAGGGGATCAGTTCACGTCTAGCACCCTTGTTCCTATAAAAATTCCTTTATTCCCATAAACTATTTATTTTAAATGTAGTTTCTTATAAACCCAATTTGTTTTTTAAATTCCACATATGTACTACATTTTACCTTTATACGTGTCACTGTTGTTTACTTGTTTTTTGGAGGTGCTCTCTGTTTTACGATCAAGCTCGCCAGTTTAGTATTTGAAGTATAATCGACAACTTAGTACACTCGATGCACCTGGGCGACTACAGCTACTACCAGAACACAGTGCGTATGCAGTGGTATTTCAGATTTAACATTGAATTTTATTTTAAATTTGAAATGGTTCATCTTACACCTCCTAAAAATGATGACAAGATTTTCCTTTGATAAAAGACCGACAACTTTTTGCTCTACTTTGCTTCGAATACGATCCTACTATAGATTAGGGTGGCCCAAAAAAAAACGAATATTTTTTTTCGTGTCTTGTGAAAATATGATAGTATATCATATTTTAAGAACCCTCTCAAAATATCAGCTCAAAAAAAATTTTTTAGACGTAGCTCAAGATTTTTAAAAATTTCCAAAATCTTTCTTCGTTATTTTATCATTTTCTAGGTTGAAAAAAATTTCGATTCTGAATATTTCAAATCGATATTTTAATTTCTAAAGGTCACATAATTATTTTAACTTTAAAAGTAGTGTTTTTAAATTTTGTCAGATTTTTTTATACTTTATTTTTTAAGTAAGGCCGTAGGAGAGGGACCCCCTAATTTTTTTGCCCTAGGGCAAGGTAGTTGCCACTGATTAAGGCTTTAATACATTTTGTTTCCAAAAATGGCAACAAAAGAATCGGAAGTTTAGACCCTTTTCAAAAAATTAAAACTTCAATGACAAAAGAAAACAAGATTGGATGAAGAAAATGTTATACACCCTGTACAATTTCGTTAAATATTATCAATAAATAAACGCAGTTCTCCATAATTGTAGGATTTAGGTCCATAATCCATCAAAAATAAAAATATTACAATAAATATTTACATAATACATGTAATATCACAGGTTTTTTAATCTTTAAAACTCGAGTCCTCATCATAAGAACTACATATTTCAATAAATAAATATTTTTAAAACACATTGTGTATCTTGCAGTTTTTATTTGGCCCGAAAATGTCTTGCATTTCCCTCTGGATTTTTGACAGTATTCTATTATTCTTTACGACCTCGCTCATATGCTTCACCATCTGAACTTTTTTCTTTTTAATTCCTGGCTTATGGATCAAAAACGCGTTGTCTAGAACCATAAAATCGTAGTCATGTATACACAGGGCGTATACCTAAAAAAAAGCACAACATCGTTGAAAGTCGAGTTTAAACATGTACAAATTGTATCTAACTGGTAACCCCTCACCCTCCAACCTTAAAGATTTTTTAACAATTTTAAAAATAAAGTTGCATCCCACAATTTTATAGCTTCTTGGTCAGCAACATACAATACACCTGCTTGTAAAGCTTGTTGCATTACAGTTTTAAATTTTTAAAATTTTCAGTATCTGTGTTTTTCATGTTTTACTGCATAATTTGGTAAGTAACATGAACGTGTAGAAAATTCCAAGGGAACGCAAATATATAATATTTGTGTCAACATGACTTAAAATTTTCTACTAACTTACTAAAGATCACAATTGTAATGGAATTTTGTCAGAATGTCAGATAATTTAATAAATAGCATGTAATCATTTCTAATCTTAAATAAAGATTATTTAATATTGTTACATTCAATTCGTTAAAAAGCTTAAGAGATTTATTTGAAAATGTACGTTAATATAATTCTAAGAAACTAAATCTTTATATATTTTGCCATGTTAAATATCGTAGTATAATAAATATGATCAGATTAATGTGAATAAACCCCTATTTGGCACGAGGTTCACAAGCATTAAAATTCCGTACATATTTCGTTAATATCGGCAATATCTTTATAAAAAATTGTAGCATAATGTAAATATCTACATATCATAACTAAACATAAACTCAACCTGCAAAAATATATAGATATACAGATATCTGAGCCAAGCGAGACTATTAGAGAAAATGTACTAGGTATGTTTTAATTTTGATTAAACTTCAAATAAACTAAAAAAGTTATTCCAACAAACTTTTTTGAAAAACAAAGGAGACATAGTTTTCAAAATATAATATGTACCTACTAAAAATTTACCTGACACATTTTGTTTCCTTGGCCTTCCCAGTTTAGTCGTTCATCCCACAGTGGCTCCTTGTGGGTACAGACGAAGAAAGGTTCCCAAATGTTATGTGGCCCTTGTCTTTTCGTCACGTTAAACACATTTAAATCTGAAGTTTCTTCCGCATCTAACCACTCGCCCTGACCAGGAATTTTATGACACGGGGTACAGACCCCTTGGTGAAACAAAATGGCATTTTTCTTCTCAAACATGTCGTGTAAATGTGTCTTGTTTTCTGGTACCTTCTCATTTGCTTTCACCTCAAAAATAGGCAACACGAAAACATTCTTGGAATCTTTTTGGGCGTATTCCGGGTGCTGTCTGATGAAAGTTAGAAACATTGGAATGAAGTTCCTTGTGGGGTAGAGTTCTATGTCCGAAGGGAAGACGAAATGAGTTTGTGCGGCTGTTCTTGCTATGTTCCTAGCCGTATTTATGGGGTAGGTCAGGTTGTTTTTTTCTTTGTACATGTCATTGTCTTTCAATACTTCGTAAGGAGGTTTCAAGCTGCAGTTAAAAGTGTCCTCGTAGATATTGATCAGTGATGCGTTTTTCTGTAAAAAATAGTTTTAAACATTATTAGGATAGTTATTTACTATACCAGTTTTTGAAAATTTCAAAATTTTAACTTGCACCTAATATTTCGTAATAATTTCCGGAAATCGATTTTCAGATATTTGAATTAAAAAATTATTTATTTCATACATTTATATTATTTCCCCTCTCATTTGTTTGTCCTTCTCTGAAATAAGGTTAGTAAATACCACAAATTTCCATTAAAAACGGTATATTTAGTTAAATGAAATAAATATTATGTCACGGTAAAATATGTCACGGTAAAATTATGGCAATTGTCCATACTTGAAACAGTAGATAACTCAATATCAAATTGATACAGCTAAAGCATTAGAATAATTAATTTATTAATAGACCAAGGCGGATCTGTCAAATTATTCCACTTCTTGGATGTAAGAGAGGAGGCAAGCTAATTTTTGCTGGAATACCTTCAATACAACTCACAAAATAAAAGTTTAGATCCCTAGATCTGGACAAAGTCAGGAACATTTTCAAAATTGCAAAAATGTTTAAAATTTTTTTAAAAATACCTATTTTATTTGAGTTTTTTACTTATATCTTGGAACCTATGCATTTTGGAAGAATATTGAAGAGGAAAAAAGTTTTAGAATTGAATTTTGCATAATATTGTAAATTAAAAATGTTCAAATTTACTACCGATGTTGCAAAATAGCAATAATTGATGTAAAAAAGGCACAATAATCAAGGTTTTTGGATAATTTCTTTATATTTTTATTGCTCCGAGGGCATTCTAATTTTAGTAAAAAAAATTTAGAGTATTACAAAACAACACACCAAATTTCATTAAAATCGGTTAGATAGTTTTCGCAAAATAATTTTTTGAAAAAAGTTTTGAAAACAAATTTTCGAATTTTCAAAATGTTGCACAGCCTCAAATAAAGCATCTAGATACTTGAAAATTTTTTCACATAGAAAAGACAGTCCAACCTTTCAAATGGTTTTTGAAAAATTGAAATCGGTTGATTAGGACAGCCACAGGAAATTGTTAAAATTAACACCCTTTTTTTATTAAAATTATTTTGCGAAAACTATCCAACTGATTTTAATGAAATTTGGTGTGTTTATTTATTATACTCTAAAGTTTTTTTACCAAAATTAGAATGCCCGAGAAGCAATTAAAATATTTTTAAAAAGTTATCCAAAAAATTTTATTATTTTGCCTTTTTTTCATCAATTATTGCTATTTTGCAACATCGGTTATAAATTTAAACATTTTTAACCCACAGCATACGCAAAATTCAATTCTAAAACTTTTTTCCGTTTCAATATTCTTCCAAATTGCATAGGTTCCAAGATATAAATAAAAAACTCAAATAAAATAGGTATTTTTTAAAAATTTTTAAACATTTTTGCAATTTTGAAAATAGTCCGGACTTCACCCAGGTCTAGGAATCTACACTTTTATTATGCGAGTTGTACTGAAGGTACACACACACCTCAAAAGAGATTAACTTGTTATTAACTTATTTGTAGAAGTTGATTTTCAAAAACTCTTAATAATTCACATTACAAAATTCCAACGTAGCTTTAACTTTAAACACGCTTTTTTACAAAACGGCTGCTTTAAGCGACAAAATACTAAGAGTACTTTTTCTACGTAAAATTGAATGGAGAATAGGTATGTTTAGTCAAAAATTAATACAGTGCTACACAAAAAAGTTATGGTTATTTAAATCCAGGTACAACACTGTATGTATCTCTAACATTAAACAAAAAAATTAAGTATCCAGTTTTTCAAATTTAGTCAAAAGCAAAAATTTTTTATAACGCTTTGTATCAAGAACATTTTATCTTAAAATTAATAAAAGTTTAAAGTTTGTACAAGTACTTAATAAACACCCTGTACTGCAGAATGCTAAAACGTTTACAGTTATCCTTACTGATTCAAGTTATTTTTAATGTTATGGTTTTATTAGTCTTGTTAAACAATTTCCAAAGCTACTGTAGATTTTGTTAAGTCTTAGCGATTTAATACTGTCTTATCAATTGTTTTAAGATAAGGAGATTTGTCTCCAATGTTTGCTTTGCTGTACCTAACTAATAATATTAGTTTTTTTGTCCACAAAATAAAACAATGTGAAAACGTGACATTATATAACAATCTTTACTTGGAAAATATAAATACAAAGTAAATTTGAAGACCAGTGTTATGATTTTAGTATAGATAACGATAATGTAATGCGTAATAATTGCTTTTGTTGCTGACCATAGCTGCCTCTGTCTCTTTTAAAATATCGGATAGTTTACATGGATGTAATATTGTGTATTTACTCACTTTTCGAATATGGGCGGTTTTTACACTGAGAGAACAGTAATTTTTGTCTGGAGTGTTTTTCTTTGAATCTTTACACCATTATTATTTAATTTTATTTTTATTTTTGGCAATTATTAATTACTAACATCTCTACGAAGTTATTTCTTCAGCTTATCTAGATATTTGAAATCAAAAAAGCGTACAGAGTGTGTCGAGTTTTTCGTATTATCATCCCCTTAAATTGAGCACAAATCTATCTGGGAAGACGTAGAACAATCCTCGGGTGTAATTTTTTCGATAAAAAACCTCTAACACGTTTCATTCATATAAAAAATCAGAGAAAGCCAGGTGTGGATATAACTTCATTTGATGCTAATTTTAGGCAAATTTTTGAAATTAATCCCAATTATCTTAATACGTTTAGCGTAATACACGTGATTTGAAAATTTTAATAACTGAAGTAATATTTTCCATTTCTGAATCCAAAATATTTTCTCATACATACATACCCCATACGTTTCACTGGCTGGAAATTTACGATTGGCCTATATATTTTTATAGTGCTTTTTCTTTGAAAAAGTTGTATTGACAGTTCAAAAATACATTTTTTAATATTTGCTCACATTTTGGAAGTTGCTTCTTTGTTCCAACCATTTTGCTTTGAGCGGTGAGTCAAATATCAACTTTTTTCAATTATTCAAAAGCTCAAAAGAAACCTCGATTAGTTTCAATTAAAAATTAAATATAATGTAAAACGAGTAGTATTGAACACTATAAATTTTTTAACGTGTAGCCCTTACCTTCTTTGGCATGTGCTCGAACTCAAAAAACAAATGAAACGTCACCAACTCGCGTACAAGAGGAGTGGTACAAGTCCTTAGGTACGCTATACACTGGAGGGTTGTAAAAAAATCGGACCCAGGCGCGTATAACGCAACACTAATGGGTCCCTCCCATCTCTCCACCAAAGGCACAACGTTATCCAGAAACCTGTAATCCCCAGGAGCTGTCAGGGTAATGCTGTCCGCACAGTTGAACTGAGTTTCCGCCATCACGAAATTTTCGAAAACTAAGAATTGGCCTCTTTGCTTCACTTTTTTCTCGAGATAGACATCTTCGCACTCCACTATAGCCTCAATCGTACTCCTAGCCACGCTGATGTTGCCAGCGTCAGATAAAGGACAATAACTGGAGTTCAAAACTATGGTTATTGCTAAAATGGACGCGATAACCAGAGCAAAGCCGATGTATATACGTCTGTTAAAGAACATTGTGTCGTGGTCATTGCCATTGGGCAAGTACAAAAGTAATATAAGTTGCGATGTTCTTAGCTGGCATCTCATCATTAAATATCAGATAACTTATCTTCAAAGTTTACGCGAAATCCTGTTCCAAAAACTGAATCTGCAGACTATTGTAATAAAAAGCGAAACTGATATAGTTATTTACATAGAAAACTACTTTTTTCCAGTAATAAGAGGCTAAGAAAATATTTAAAATGCATTCAATTGTTCGATAGGTGCTTGGTAGTAAGCAAGGAATAATTGAAACTACCTAAATCTGTTATACAGGGTGGCCAAATGAAAACGAAACAGCTGCGTCAAGAATGTAGAAAAACGCTCAGACCCGTCGATTTTAGATTAAAGGGGGTCATTCTTTGCTGGTATTTTTGACTCCGCCACTTTCACGACCAAGCAAGGGTAGGTAAGCATCACCCAAAAATATTTAAATGGCATTGGGGGTTGAGGTTTCTTTTGATAGCTCTTACAATTCTCTTTACAACAGACTTTAAGTTTTATAATTCCTCCCAATACCTATTTAGAATTTTGATTTTAAAGTTGAAGCTTATCTACAAATATTACTCAGCCCCCAATGCCATTTAAATATTTTGGGGTGATGCTTACTCTTGCTTGGGGGTGAAAGTGGAGGAGTCAAAAATACCAGCAAAGAATGTCCCCCTTTAATATAAAATCGACGGGTCTGAGCGTTTTTCTACAATCTTGACGCAGCTTCTGAAAATGGCTCTGTTTCGTTCTCATTTGTCCACCCTGTATTTTTCTCTCACTTTTATATATTAGTCATAACAATAAAAAATATTGTTATAGCCCTAGAAATAATTAAATTTATACTTAATGGCACAGAAGCATAGAAGGATCACATAAATTTTTATGTTTTAAATTACGACTGTGTGGTTATGTAGGTGTATGTAGGTAGCTTACAACTTGCAATTCCAAATTACGATTTCTAAGTTGAAGTTACTCCTTACTGATACGACAATAATAACATTAAACTGTCGAAACGAATCTAAGCTGGTTTTGCAGTTCCATAGATCACATACTCGATATTTTCAAAAACTTGCAGTGAATCTTTCGGGTTCCTGCGATCAAAGTAGTCAGATAAAGTCTCTGTAGTCTTCAAAAATGTTAACCCAATGTCTCCAAGGAACCCTGTACTTTTCTGTGCTATAAATAGGCTTAGTGCGGCGCGAAGTTTAACAGGACCGTAGTCAGATTACTGTTGACAACGGACAGTATGAGAAATTGTTGAGGCATGAACTATATATTAATATATTTGCAGGAAACTCCTGATATGTACCAGATAAAACTTTACATATGTTTTCCAAAATGGTTTTCAGCAAAAAGGCATATAAATTTGTAAATTCATAAAAAAGATGTTTTCCCTTTCGCCAATAATGTACTAAAAATCTATTTATGGCCTGTGGTCAGTATAATAAACTCATGAAATCTATTTTTTCTTTATTTTTTGGGTATTATACCACTTGCAATTTTTTAAATTAAAGCATTTTTAAATTTTACATGAAAATAAAAGTTTTTTTTAAACATATTTAGTTTTTTTTTGTAAAGTTATGGAAGAGAGGACTTTTTCCAAAAATGACGGCTTTGAGTGATAAAAAAAACAAAATTGGATGAGGACAATGTTATATTAAACCTAGTACAAATACATATATCATTAAACATAACTTCTCCCCAATTTTAGGATTTAAATCCGTAATCCCTTAAAAATATAAATATTACAATAAATATTTAGGTAACTTATGTAATATCACAGTTTTTGAATCTCGAAAACTCGAGTTGTCATCACAGGAACTATTTCAATAAATACATCCCATGTTAATACTATTTTTAAAAGACATTGTGTATCTTGCACTTTTTATTTGGCCCGAAAATGTTTTGCATTTCTTTCTGGATTTTTCGTAGAATGTTATCGTTCTTCACGACCTCACTCATATGCTTCATCACTTGAACTTTTTTCTTTTTAACTCCTGGTTTGTGGATCAGGAAGGCATTGTCCAGAACCATAAAATCGTAATCATGTATACACAGGGCGTAGACCTAAAAAAGGACAACATCGATTAAAGACAAATTTAAACATGAATAAATGTCTGAATGTTAACCCCCCTCTATAACCTTCAAGATTTTTTAATAATATTGAATACAATCCGGTAACTTTGTGGTATACTTTTTTTATCCATGTTTTATCCAGTTCCACCTATTCCTTATTGCATACTCTACGAATATTATTGCTAAATTTGCTTTGTCGGCAACATACAATACATCTATTTGTAAAGCTTGCTGCATTACAGTTCACAATTCTTTAAATTTTGAGTATCTGTGTTTTTCATGTTTTACTGCATAATTTGGTAAGTAACGGGCAGAAAATTCCGAGGAAAGACAAATATATAATATTTGTGTTTACATGACTTAAAATTTTCCATCATTTCTAATCTTAAATAAATATTATTTAATACTGTTACATTCAATTCGAAAAAGCTTAAGATATTTATCAAATATAATTCTAGGAAACTATATTTTCATATGTTAAAAATCGTAATATAATAAATATAATCAGAAAATTCCTTACATATGTCGTTAACATCGACAATAATATCACTAAAAAACAAAAATTTGTAGTAAAATGTAAATATTTATATATCATAACCTCACACTTGAGAAGTAGCTGGGTTATTAGAGAACAAGGTACTGTATTGTAATTTCGATAAATGAACTTGGGACTACTTCTTTAGACTAAACTTTTACATAAACTAAAAAAGTTATTCTAATTAAGTTTTTTCAAAAAAAAAAACAGAAGAGACGTATTTTTCGTAATGTATGTAGTTTACCTGAGACATTTTGTTTCCCTGCCCCTCCCAGTTTAGTCGTTCATCCCATAGTGGCTCCCTGTGGGTACAGACGAAGAAAGGTTCCCAAATGTTATGTGGCCCTTGTCTCTTCGTCACGTTAAACACATTTAAATCTGAAGATTCTTCCGCATTTAACCACTCGCCCTGTCCAGGAATTTTATGACACGGAGTACAGACGCCTTGGTGAAACGCAATGGCATTTTTCTCCTCAAACATCTCATGTAAATGTGTCTTATTTTCTGGCACCTTCGAACCTGCCCGCACCTCAAAAATAGGCAGCACGAACACATTCTTTGCGTCTTTTTGCGCGTATTCCGGGTGCTGTCTGATGAAAGCTAGAAACATTGGGATGAAGTTTCTGGTGGGGTAGAGTTCTATGTCCGAAGGGAAGACGAAATGAGTTTGTGCCGCTGTTCTTGCTATGTTCCTAGCAGTATTTATGGGGTAGGTAAGGTTGTTTTTTTCTTTGTACATGTCATTGTCTTTTAGTACTTCGTACGGAGGTTTCAAGTTGCAGTCGAAAGTGTCTTCGTAGATATCGACTAGTGATGAGTTTTCCTGTAAAAAAATAGAGCGTCTCAAAATCGCACCTTGCCTATTTTGCGGTTGAATCTTTTTGAGAAAATATATTTTTCAAAATTCTACGTTGTACACCTAATACTGTATATTATGGGAAGCATATTTTCAAAAATTTCCAAGAAAAATGTATTTCTTTATATTATTTAATATACCTATAATAGGTATTTATATTATTTTCGTTTCTCATTTGTTTGGTCTTCTCTGAAACAAAATTACTAAATACCGCAAATTTCGATTAAAAATGATATCTTGAGGATAAGGAAATAAAAATTATCATATTCATTTAACTGCTGTTCATTTGATCAACTTTAATAATTTAATATAACAACATAAAAAAAAATTACCCAACCCAATCTTCATATAGAAACGCAGAGTTGTCAGCAGCGAAATACAATCTAGAGAGAGACAGTAAGGATCAAAGATGTAAACAAGTGACAAGTGATATGATATAGCTGTGAGTCACGTGACGTCATTTGTAAGTCTATACCTACCAATTAGGTTTGCATTTCATTTTAAAATTATAATATAGAACCTAAAATACAAGGTCATGTGATTGGAGGCAATAGACCTTTTTAGTAGTGACGTCACATACGCCAAATAATAGGCAACCCCGTAGTCCATATTGACATGAAGGATTTCTAAGTTTTTTACTAGATCGATTTTCGACCTTATGTACTTTGGACATAATTGCCGAAAAAATGTCTTCATTGTCATGACCTTTATGACGATATTCTGGCAATATTAGAAATATTTAAGAAGTTTCAAACCCCAGGTGACAAATTAAAGGAATTATGGGATTTACATATTTAAATTTATTGACTTTTATAGTAAGTAAAAAATTAAAATTATACCAAAGTTACTGAGCATGCGCATTAAAGATAATTTCATGTAAGCGAAATAGCCTCGCAACAGGATATCATTCAAGAAAAGTTTGGTTGTGGTTAAGAGTACGTCTATAATAAACCACTTGAAGAAATAAACACTCGATGACACAGTACAGCACCAAGAAAAAAAAATACTTAGTAGAACTAGAAAATGCCAAGATTAAACAAAAGAAGAGAAAATACGCAATGATGACAGCGATGATATATCAAATTTAGAAATATTCTTGCGGGTTACCTAAATATGTGACGTCACACTAAAAGTGTTCTATTGAAACAACTTCTTTGCTAAGTGTAGAAGTGCATCTATCTATATAAAGGTTATGGAAGTTAAGTTTGGTTAAGTATTTTTATACATACACAGAGCTCGTAAAGTTTGGAATAAATTCGAAAAATCGTTATTGAAGGGTTTTGACAGGAAATCCTCGGACACGTCAACTTTAGNTCATTCAAGGAAAGTTTGGTTGTGGTTAAGAGTACGTCTATAATAAACCACTTGAAGAAATAAACACTCGATGACACAGTACAGCACCAAGAAAAAAAAATACTTAGTAGAACTAGAAAATGCCAAGATTAAACAAAAGAAGAGAAAATACGCAATGACAGCGATGATATATCAAATTTAGAAATATTCTTGCGGGTTACCTAAATATGTGACGTTACACTAAAAGTGTTCTTTTGAAACAACTTCTTTGCTAAGTGTAGAAGTGCATCTATCTATATAAAGGTTATGGAAGTTAAGTTTGGTTAAGTATTTTTATACATATAATAATTAAAAAAAAAAGACAACAGTAAGTAAGTATATTTTTTACACTATTCCTTAATATACTGCAGAATCTTAAAGTTTTTACAGTTACTACTAATCCTAGTTATCTTTAGCATTATGCTTTTAATAGTCTATTAAAACAATTTCCTGTCTTATCATTTTTTTTAAGATAAGGTGATCCTCCAATGTTTGCTTTTCTGTACTAGTAACTTTTTTCCACAAAGTAAACCAATGTGAGAAACGTAATATTTACACATAATAATCATGTATCTATACTTTTATTTTATTTGAAAGTAAATTTGAAAACCAATCTTATGATTTTAGTTTAGATAACGCTAATGTAATGCATAATAATAACTGTTTTTTTTGCTCAGCATAACTGCTTCTGTATTAGCACCAAACAGCAGTTAAGTAAAGCCTTTATAGTAAGACTTAAAAAACTAACATGTTTTTATGAAAATTGCAGCCAGATCAAGAATCATAACAAGCCAGTTGTTCGTAGCCTTAGAAGGATGTTATTCCGCAAAAAATTAATTAGATTTAACAGAATAAGTTTAATAAGTAGGAAATATACAGGGTGTTTCAGAAAGACCTCCCAAAATTCAGGGGGTGATAGTACGACAAAATATAAGATTTTTTTGTCTTATGAACTATATGTCTATCTCCTCTTGTTTTCGAGATACAGAGCGACAAAATAAAATAATTTTTTAAATATAATTTTTACGAAAATTTCCGAACGGTGCGAAATATTTTTATGAAACTTGGTATTGTGGGGTTTTTAAGGACGCCAAATACGCTGATGTAATTATTTTTTGGATATTTCATAGAGGGCACTAGTTACCCTACATTCCTATTACATTTTAGGTTCTAATTTTTTTAAGGTTAGGTTTTTTACCATTCGGGCTCCAATTTCTAATGTACAATTTTATTTTCTAAAAATAATGTACTCTTGTTAGAACTTCCTAATGTGTAATGTTTTTCCTAGAGAAAAAAGGTTTTTAATTGAACTCTTACAATAATACGGTAAAGAAAATAAGTGACTTTTCTCAAAGTAGGCTTATCTCAAAACTTATTGATGGATGTCTCAGAAACAACGCATACACTCTCAGAAATATTTTAAACTCTAATTAACTTTATTCCAAAATTTTTGTGATTGTAATGACTAATTACAGTCACTAAAATTTTGATATAAAGTTAATTAGAATTTAAAATATTACTGACAATGTATGCGTTGTTTATGAGACATTCATCAATTAGTTTTGACATAAGCCTATTTTGAAAAAAGTTACTTATTTTCTACACCGTAATATTGTAAGAGTTCATTTAAAAGCCTTTTTTCTCGAAAATCGTCCACATTAGGAAGTTCTAACAAGAGTACATTATTTTTAGAACCTAACCACAAAAAAATTAGAACTTTAAATGTAATACGAATGTAGCATAACTAGCGCCCTCTATAAAATATACAAAAATAATTAGACCAGCGTATTTGGCGTCCTTAAAAACCCCAGAATACCAAATTTCATAAAAATATTCCGCACCGTTTGGAAATTTTCGTAAAAATTCTATTTAAAAAATTTTATTTTGTCACTCTGTATCTTGAAAACAAGAGGAGATAGACATATATTTCATAAGACAAAAACATCTTATTTTTTGTCGTACTATCACCCCCTGAATTTACGGGAGGTCTTTCTGAAACACCCTTTATACGTGATTAAAATTTTAATAACTAAAGTCAAATTTTCAATTTCTGAACGACAATGACGCTTCAAAAATATATTTTCTATTATTTACTCCCATTTGAGTTAAATATCAGCCTTTTCCAATACAAAAGTTTAGAAGAAACCTCGGTTTTTTCAATTAAAAAGTTCTAATTTGCTAACCTTACCTTCTCTGGCATGTGCTCGAACTCAAAAAACAAATGAAACGTCACAAATTCGCGTACAAGTGGTGTGGTACAAGTCCTTAGGTACGCTATACACTGGAGGGTTGTAAAGAAATCGGACCCAGGCGCGTACAACGCGACACTAATGGGTCCCTCCCATCTCTCCACCAAAGGCACAACGTTATCCAGAAACCTGTAATCCCCAGGGGATGTCAGCGTAATGCTATCCCCACACTTAAACCTAGTTTCCGCCAATACGTAATTTTCGAAAACTAAGAATTGGCCTCTTTGCTTCACTTTCTTCTCGAGTTCGACATCTTCACACTCCACTATGGCCTCAATCGTACTCCTAGCCACGCTGATGTTGCCAACTTCATATGAAGGACAATAACTGGAGTTCAAAACTGTGCTTATTGCTAAAATCGACGCGATAACCAGAGCAAAGCCGATGTTTATACGTCTGTTAAAAAACATTGCGCTGTGCTTATGGGACAAGTATAAAAATAAAGTGTGCTGCGGTATTCTTAGCTGGGATCTCATCGTGAAGTAATCAGATAAGTTATCTCAGAAATTTAAGAGAAATCGTTATTTCCAAAAATAGGATCTGCAAACTATTGTAACAAAAAGTAAAACTGAAGTAGCTGTTTACATAGGAAGCTATTTTTGTTCAGTAATAGGCGGCTGAGAAAATATTTAAAATGCGGTGTGATTTAATTATAGTATAAAAAAAAACAAGTAATCAAAACAGTGGCATAAAAATGCCAATTACATCAGTGCTCTTTAAAGAACTACACACTAGCCAGTAGTCTTCAATGGGCTCTGTACTTTTCCGAGTGTTATTATAAATTTTATAGTATAACCTTATGTATCTAGGATTTGGGTTTAGGGCTTCTAGATTCAATATTAATTAATAAAAATGAGGTACCGGTATGTTTTTGAGTTTCATACATACTGATATTATGAAAATTCTTCTAATTTTTCACTAAATTTGCTTCTCCGGAACAATTTGCATATCGTAACTTATCTTCATCTTTCGGCAGAGTCTTCAATTGTCCAGATGTATTTAGCGATAAGGCAGTTTTATATACCTTTGTTATTGATCTACTATTATCTAGATTGGAAAAATATTTAAAAAATTTCGACAGACTAATTTGTTGACATTATTTAATATTCCATTTTATTAGATAAAAATTACAATATAAGTTTTGGGAATATTGCTGTTAGACCAGTGCTTAAGCCTTCAAAAATGGTAAAAAGTGAAAAAAAATTATAGTAGGATGAAACCCATTGGAAAATGAAGAGAATATAACAGAAATGAAAGGAAAAATAATTTACGGGCGATCTGTGGTCAGGAAGGGGAAGGGGGTGAGTTTTTAAGGGTAAAAAACGGTTTCCCTTGATTTCCGGAAAAACTACAAGTCTTATGGAAAAAAGTTAAATGGCAAAGTTGTAGGTAATAAAAAGATCTACAACTTTTGTATTTACACTTTTTTCACATAACCTCAAAATTTATGTGAAAAATTCAAATAACCAAGTTTTTGGTTTTTTATTTTTATCTTTTAAAAAAAAATTTTTTTTTCACGAAATTTGGTGAAAACTTACCTATTTATGTCCCAAACACGCTGTAATTTTTTTGATTTGAAATATTTATTTTTTCACCTTATTTTTACTTAATATCGAAAAAGCACCCTAATTTTCAATCGAAAATTCTCACGTCAAAATATCTGCTTTTTTAAAAACGTCGGTGGGCTTTTTCTTCGTTGAAATCTCTACTTTCTGATGGTGTAAAAAAAATATACATTACTATGGTAAGTTTTCTCAGGAAATGCAAAGAAACGAAAGAAGATTCTACAACTTTCTCAAAATATTGTAGATGTCTTATTAAATATTAACTTTATTAACTTATTTGGTTGTTAATTATAATAGTATATTTCGACTTGTAATTTTTTTGTTTATCAATGTAACATGGAATCTTACGTTTTTCGAGTAATTAAAGTGTAAATTTTAATAAATAGCTCAAAATTGTACATAATGATTAGAAAAAAATTTTCGGATTCTAGTTCGTTTCTTTGCATTTCCTGAGAAAACTTACCATAGTAATGTATATATTTTTTTACACCATCAGAAAGTAGAGATTTCAACGAAGAAAAAGCCCACCGACGTTTTTAAAAAAGCAGATATTTTGACGTGAGAATTTTCGATTGAAAATTAGGGTGCTTTTTCGATATTAAGTAAAAATAAGGTGAAAAAATAAATATTTCAAATCAAAAAAATTACAGCGTGTTTGGGACATAAATAGGTAAGTTTTCACCAAATTTCGTGAAAAAAAATTTTTTTTGTAAAAGATAAAAATAAAAAACCAAAAACTTGGTTATTTGAATTTTTCACATAAATTTTGAGGTTATGTGAAAAAAGTGTAAATACAAAAGTTGTAGATTTTTTTTATTACCTACAACTTTGCCATTTAACTTTTTTCCATAAGACTTGTAGTTTTTCCGGAAATCATGGGAAACCGTTTTTTACCCTTAAAAACTCACCCACTTCCCCTTCCCGTCCTCAGATCGCCCGTAAATTATTTTTCCTTTCATTTCTGTTATATTCTCTTTCTTTTCCGATGGGTTTCATCCTACTATAATTTTTTTTGGTTTAAACAATAAATTATTATAGAAAATCTGTAAATAATAGATACGCCGTCTATTTTTTCTATAACTGCCATCAATTTAAATGGTTTATAGTTGAAGACAATTATTTATGTGGCATGTAACATAGCATCTTTTAATGTAAAATTATCTAAACTTTATAACCTTCTTTTACGAACATATATCTTGCATTTTAAATTTTTTAACCTTTTTTTAATACTATAAATGTACTTTTATCATTAAAACTGAGACATGTATTGTGCTTTATTGCAATAAAGTATTATATTTCGATATTTAAATTGATTTTATTACTTTTAATAAATGGCGTTCAGTAAGTCTCAAGTCAAACCAGTGGATTTTAGATATGTCGATTTATCTCCCTTAAAACTTGTGGCGACACCACTACAATATACTTATTTTTTTTAGTTTTTTTTTCTTCTTGGTACAAACTGACAATGTGTAAAGGTGATCCATTTAGAATTTTCGAATTATTTATTGTTCATATTTAGTATTGATCAAGGTGTTTTTTGTGTTTCTTTTAAATACATAAAAATAAAAGTTTTTTCATTATGAAATTTTTTAATCATCCTACTCCCTAACTTCTAGGCTTCAATTATAAAATAAAACATAAGACTGGATGAGGAAAATGTTACAAATATTAAGCACTGTACAAATATCGTTAAACATTACTGATAAATAAATCTCATTAAAATCAACTTCAATTCACTTTTATAGTCTATAATCCTTCAAAAATAAAAATATTGTAATAAATATTTACGAAATACATGTAATATCACAGGTTTTGTATCTCGAAAACTCGAGCTATCATAAGAACTATTTCAATAAATAAATTTAATAAATACATCTCCCGTGTTAACTCTATTTTTAATTCACTTGTGTATCAGTGTATCTTGCAGTTTGTATTTGGCCCAAAAATGTTTTGCATTTCCTTTTGGATTTTTGACAGCATTCTGTTATTCCTTTGTATCTCCTTCATATGCTTCACCACCTGAACCTTTTTCTTTTTAACACCTGGTTTGTGGATCAAGAACGCGTTGTCTAGAATCATGAAATTGTAATCGTGTATACACAGGGCGTAAACCTAAAATAAGGACAATATCAACAAAAGGCAAATATAAACAAGTAAAAATTTTATCTGGATGTTAGAACCCTCTTGGTGAAATAGCAATCTCATATGGACTACCATTTTTGATTTAATTCTAATACAAAGCTGCCTACAATTCGACAACACTGTAGTAGTGTAGTATCATTGGATAAGTAAATACTTACTACTACTTATAAATTTACTTATACAATGGTAATATATATTTTTTTGTACCTAAGTTTCTACGTATTCTATTATTGCTTAAATATGCTTTGTCTGCAACACACAATACATCAAATTGTAAAGTTTGGTGCATAAGTTTTAAATTTTGTACAAGTGTTGGAGGGACGTGGTTACTTTCATTAAAAAAACGTAGAAATTTCACCACAGGATACTTAGAACCGTGCGATTGAAAATTACCTGACACATTTTGTTTCCTTGGCCTTCCCAGTTTAGTCGTTCATCCCACAGCGGCTCTCTCTGGGTGCAGACGAAGAAAGGTTCCCAAACCTTATTTCTCCCTTGCCTTTTCGTGACATTAAACACATTTAAACCTGTAGTTTCTTCTGCATTCAACCACTCCTCATGACCAGGAATTTTATGACACGGGGTACACATACCTCGGTGAAACAAATTGGCCTTTTTCTTCTCGAACATGTCGCGTAAATGTGTCTTGCTTTCTGGTACTTTCTCATTTGTCTTCACCTCAAAAATAGGCAACACGAACACATTCTTTGAATCTTTTTGGGCGTATTCCGGGTGCAGTCTTATGAAAGCTAGAAACATTGGGATGAAGTTCCTTGTGGGGTAGAGTTCTATGTCCGAAGGGAAGACGAAATGAGTTTGTGCTGCTGTTCTTGCTATGTTCCTAGCAGTATTTATGGGGTAAGTTAGGTTGTTTTTTTCTTTGTACATGTCCTTGTCTTTTAATACTTCGTAAGGAGGTTTCAAGCTGCAGTCAAAGGTATCTTCAAAGATATCGATCAGTGATGAGCTTTTCTGTAAAAAAAAATAGTTATTAAATGTTCTGTGCTGTTCTTAAAATAGCTATTAAATGTTGTTTCGATGCTGATGTTTGAAGCTATTTTTCTGGGGTCGAATCTAGTTTTGAAGAAAAATATATTTTCGAAATCCTAATGTGTATATACGCAACATTCGAATCCTGCTCATTAGTTATAACACTGTAGGTATAGTGTTGTGATAATATTAGTAAACAAAATATCCCTCTTATTTCTCCCTTTCGCAATTGTAATATGAATGATTAATAGAAGGTGCCTATAATAAATTAAAATTACCTGAATCACACCAAATTGCGCATTGCTGCACTGCACTGCTGGGCAATTTATCAACCACTTGTCAACTACTGAGATTTATTCCCCAGTAGCCCAATACAACGGTGGTTGTTTTCCTTTGCCCGCGCTCGCATTCTTCAACTGGGCGTATACATTTCTACCACTCCCACGTTTAGTTCAACCAGACCTGTATATGGTATGGCTAAATAAATATGGGAACAAGTTTTTCAAATATTTCAATGCCGAGTTGCTGTGTCAGCGACTGAACCTGGTATGTACCTGTCAACCTCTTGGTTCTTCAACTGATATCGGAAAGACTACAATGCGGTATTCGAAGTCTATAATATTTCTGGGAATCATTTGTTTACGAAATTTGAAAGAAAAATATATTCACCTTTATTAAAATTGCAGCCATATAAAAAACTATATCAGTCCAGGTGTTCCCAGTAATGGGAGGTATACAGTTGGGTCCTAACCACAAAAAAATAGTTCCAAATGATTTCACCAGCCTGCGTACTTAAGGGGATGTTAACCCCAAAAGCTAAACATACTGTATAAAAGTATAAAACTTTACCTGATGAGAATTTTTCAAAAAAAAATTTTTTTCTCGGTATTTGAAATATTCACGACTGAAAAAAACAATTATTTAATTATTTTTTTTTTGATATTTGATGACTATTTAACGCGAGATTGTGAGAAAAATAACGCAAAAAATTGTTCCATTTTAATCATTAATTGATGTTTCAGGAGAAACAAACCTGCTCCTTTATTTTTTTTATAAAACTATATGTATTTGCAAAGTAGTCGCTGTCTTTCCAACACAGCGGAAAAAAGAAAACTTAGAAAAGCCCGTAGGAATATGGTTTAACTCCTTCCAATATGCCACGGAAGTCTTATCTCAACACTAAGGTTTATCGGGTAAGTGGTGTTATTTGAATTTATCTCAGTATTTTATCCTCTACTTAGCCTTGCTCTTTGGTAATAGTACTATGTTGCGACATATTTTCTGTAAACATATTAATATTTTAATTCGTAATCTGATTACGGTCCTGTTAATCTCCGAACCGCACTAAGCCTAATCATTAGTTCATGAGATATCGATAATAAAAAAAATAGGTGACCTTTCACTCAGTAGCTGATATCTCAATGAGATATAATCGTACAGAAAATAAAATAAAATCAAATTTAAGCTGATGAATTAGGCTTTTTCCTCGATACGACCATTATTCATGCTTTTAAAAAATCACTAAAAATTTTTTTAAAGTTTTCTGATGTTTTATTATTTATTATTTTTTTTTGCTGAGTAGTATGGAACACTATACATTTCTTACCTCCTTTGGCATGTGCTCGAACTCGAAAAACAAATGAAACGTCACAAACTCGCGTACAAGAGGAGTGGTACAAGTCCTTAAGTACGCTATACAGTGGAGGGTTGTAAAAAAATCGGACCCAGGCGCGTACAACGCGACACTAATGGGCCCCTCCCATCTCTCCACCAAATGCACAACGTTATCCAGAAACCTGTAATCCCCAGGAGCTGTCAGGGTGATGCTGTCCCCACACTTGAACTGAGCTTCCGCCATTACGAAATTCTCGAAGACTAAGAATTGACCTCTTTGCTTCACTTTCTTCTCAAGTTCGATATCTTCACACTCGAGTGTGTCCTGAGTCGCACTCCTAGCCACGCTGATATTACTAATGGCTAGTTTATATAAAGGACATTTACTGGAATTCAGAACTGTGATTATAGTGAAAATGGACGCGGTAACCAGAGCAAAGCCAATGTATATACATCTGTTAAAAAACATGGTGCTGTGCTCACGGGACAAGTACAAAAATAATATATGCCGTGATGTTCTTAGCTGGCGTATCATCCCGAAATAATCAGATAACTTATCTTATAAAATTACTCGAAATCGTTAGTTGTAATAACTGGATCTGCAGAGCTACTGCAATTAAAAATAAAACTGAAGTAGGAAACAGTTTTTTTTTTCAATAAATGTTTAAAATGCATTAAATAGTTCTGCAGGTACTTGGTACTTGATGATAAGCAAGGCATAATTGAAACTATCTAAATCACTTACGTATATTAGTCAACTTATAGGACTTGTTGCTGCAAATTTCGTCTTGTAACTAAAAATGGCGACTTATAACACTTAATTACGTGTTATAAGTATGATTGCGGGTTATAACTTTTACATAAATGCCTTTGGAAAAATTCATAGGTGCAGTTTATTACACAACCACACAAAAAAAAGTTGTCTGTACTTTTCATGCGACGTATGTTATCCGTAGTATTTTTATCTCCTGATCATGAATCCGGTGTCAGAATTGAGCTATCACGGGAATTTCCTAACCTCAAAAAACAGGTCAAAAATTGCAAAAATTCACGAAAAAGTGCTAGGAAAAATACAAAAAATTGTTTTCTATATTTAAATGTTCATTTATATGGTTATATTTTATCAGATCTCGAAATAACGTGAAGAAATCTGCAACTGCGACTAAACCTAAATAATGCGTATCTACCAACAGACGATTCACATTCGGCAATCGAACTCATTATTTATATGTATTTTACTTTTACGCAGATGCAAATACATTTATTTAGCCGAATGATATAACAAGATAAATATTAAACTCGAAAGAAGAAACCTTATTTTGTCTGTACTGGACAATCTACAAATCGTAACTTATCTCCTTCTTTCGACAGAGTTTTCAATTGTCCAGATATATTTAGCAATAAGGCTGTTTTATACAGAGTGAATCACAAACGGTGACCAAAAATGAAACCTCATATTGTTTGGTGAATTTTAAGGGGAATCTTTCGTATAAAGTTTTTATCTAGGACGCTTCGTTAAAAAGATACAGGGTGTTAAACTTCAAAAAATATTTTTAACTTTTTTTAAATAAAATTCACCAAAGAATACGAGGTTTTATTTTTGGTCGCCGTTTTTGAATCACCCGGTATACTGGCGCCTATTTTATTGATCTTCTGTTATCTATACGCAAAATACCTCAAATATTTCGATGTACTCTAATTAGTTTTCGTCATTTAATATTACATTTAAGTCAAAAATTACGTAAAAATTGCAATTAAAGTTTTGGAAATAATGTTGTTTTTATGAATTATTTTTTTAAATAAATTATTGCAGAAAATGACCTTTCAACATTTACAGATGTCACAGGCTCATATCTAAAATAGTCGAAGGTTTTAATATATGGTAGTTTTACTAATTGTGGCGACTCATCAACTACTTCACATTTTAGTAAGTCCACTATCCGTATCATTGTACAATAACAGTCTACATGTCTGCCTCTGATGTGAAGCTACGCATCGATCAATTTATTCGGTACGTATATAGCATCCCCCTAATGCCTGCCCTGAAGTGTCGGTGTACAAACCAGGTTTTTTGCTGAGAGACGTTGACTGTGTACTTAATTGTCGTTTGTGCGTGTGTGAGCAATCATATTAGAAATTATCTACTCCTTATTGCATGTTTTCTTCCGTAAATATTATGTTTATCAATGTACGGGACAGACTAATATGTCACTGATGAAATTATAATAGATGCTTATGTATATCAAAAGAAAATTTGCAAAACTTGTGTAGATAAGGTATATTCTCTGTATCAAATAAGTTTTATTGTATGCCAATTGTGTCCCCTGTATTAAAGGATCAAACTTGAATTGACAAAAGCTATATTTATAAAATTGTTGTTTCAATGGATTACTTGAAAATTTACGATAAACGGGAAGAAATATGTAATCCGTATAATCTCTAATTTGATAACTTGACATCTTTCACAACGTGACTAAGAAACTTGCCCGTTTTCGTAATCATCTATTTCTACTCTAAAATTATCCAAGAAATTTGATTATTTTGCCTTTTTTTCATCAATTATTGCTATTTTTAAACATTGGTAATAAATTTAAACTTTTTTAACTTACAGTATATCAATTCTAAAACTTTTTTCCTCTTCAATATTCTTCCAAAATGCATAGGTTCCAAGATATAAGTAAAAAACTCAGATAAAATAGGTATTTTTTAAATTTTTTTAAAATTTTTGCAATTTTGAAAATGTTCCGGACCTCGCCCAGATCTAGGGATCTACACTTTGATTATGTGAGTTGTACTGAAGATAATCCAGAAAAAATTTGCAAGCCCCCTCTCACATCCACCTCAAAACAGATCCGCCCTGGTAATAGGTAGATTTGCATACATTTCCAACTGTCCCAATCTGAACTGAGTCTGTGACGGCTATGAAAACAAAAATTTGTTTACAAAATTTTGACATTTAACGTGTCGTTTCCGAGATTTTGCGGAATGTGCGAAGAAGACGTTGCATTATCAATGGAAACGGAAAAATCATCCTTCGCTAAGCAATGTGCAGCTAATAAGGTAAAATCACATCATCATTATTTCTAAATGTATTAAAATACGACCAATATGTGTCACTATATTAAATTAGACTTATGTCTGCATTAAGCAGATGGATTTTACTCGGTGATTGAAAATGTTCTGAATTTCTTTAGGGATATAGCCAAGATGTGGAAATTGTTCCAAACCGAGTTTCTTTTGGTCATTCAAAGGAAAAATATCAAGCGCAGTACAGTGGTGTGCGTGAAAATGATGTCGTAAATGAAGAACCCATTGATTTGACAACTTTTAGCAACAAACAGACGAGTAGTCATATGAAAACTGAGGTAAAATTTCAGAATTAAATCATTTTCGTTGAACGTACCAGTAGCTATAATGACTTGAGGGTTAATATGTAGTACATTTTTTTAATTAAAATAATTGGGGAAATAGTCAAACAAAGATGGTAGGTAACAATATTACTTTTTTATTAGGAAATTTCTTGTGATGTGCCACACCCTTCCCAAGAAGTTGTTGTCGGCCAAACTAGTGTATGCTATCCAAAAAAAAGACGCAAAAGGAGAAAGTTTGCTTACACAGCTGACGGGAAACTTGTTTTAGTGAGTAAAATTTGTTTCCAAGCATCAGAAACATATTAATTGTTTCTCCTTTTTTTTTACGGGTCCCCAACGATGAGACCCTCCAATCTCCGGCCTCGTTCTCGGAGTCCAAGCAACTGGAGATCTTGAAAGCAGCCAAATCTCTATTCTCCAAGCGCACCAGAACTTTGTACCATTGGATGTATCCCAACGCGGCGAAGCCCCAGATCAAGGCAGCCGTAAGCAGCTCTTGGGAATCCCTCGGCGCGCAGGAAAAGGATTTTTACATTTCTCAGGTGAGGATGTTGCAAAATCTGCGTCATTGAGTTTCGTTTAATTAAACAATTCATTGAATTGAAGTATTAGGCTACTTAGAAAAATGGTTATCATTTCGACAACAAATCGATGTTATTTGCAAATAAACCGCAGATTGCAAGACAGATTGCGTCTGACTCATACTGATAAGATAATCATAATCATTATTAGTCACCTTATAAGCCAATCAATAGAGGTTTTGTTTGTGACAGAAATACTAGTAGCAAACGGACTGTGCCAACAGATAAAAGACAGTCCGTAGATATGCTGATATGTTTCCTACTCCAATTTGCCATTAATTAATTTTTTATAAACATTTTTAAGCAAAAAAAACATTTTTTTAGTTTTTTGCTTATAAAACTTAAACTAACGAAGCAATCTGAATGCTATACAGAAACAATTTGAAGAGAATCGAAATACGAATAAAACGAGAGGTTGATCGTTTTAATTGTCAGTGTTGCGAGAAACAACTACTCCGAGGGCTATATGCCCCTACCGACATTGAATTATACCCGCAACACCTAGTGCAACAGCTAGGATCGTTCGTCAGTTTAACCCACCAGACACAGACCGGTTTGGGACTTATTAGTCCTCATCAGTGGGCTATAGGTGAGACAACCGACGAACGATCCAGCTGTAAAAAATGCAGCTTATAAAAAAACAAAAAGAGTGACGTCTGAAGACCCAATAGAAGCGGAGTAATAGCTTGTTGAAGGTTGGTTCGTATTCGTCAAACGCCAAAATTGAAAGTTTGAATGTGAAATAACCAAAAACCAATGCATTTTTCAGGGAATACTCATAGAACCTTTTTTAAAGTACTTGGAAAAACCTTTATTTCTATTTTTTATAAAAGTCCCTAGCATCAAACCTAAGCGAGTTATGACGAAAATAAAGTTGGTCCTTATTGTTTTTGGCGACAAAAAACGTGAAAATCACCCCCTAATTACCACCCCAATTGAAAAAAATCGTTACCACTTTACAATTTACTTTATTTATATACTTGTAATAAGCTCTAGAAGTTTGACTGGTTTAAAGTGCTTAGTTTTGAAAAAAGTTCAGCTTGAAGTGAAAAGAGAATTTTTTATTTTTGGAAAAAATTGTCTTTTCTTCAAAATAACTCAAAAACTATTAATGATACGCAAAATTTTGTAATGTACAAAATCATAGGTTTTGCTTTCTTGAAAATTTTGATTTTTTTATTTCTCTGTATGATAAAAATTAAGTAAGATATGGCCGTTTAAAATTTGCATATGTTCGTAAATAGCAACTTGTTCAAGCCCTTTCAGCTCAAACCCTTACAAAAATAAGGGCTAAAAGAAAATTTAACTTACTTGATCTTATAGCCCTTGAAGAAACCTACAAATGGTTTACATTTTTGATTTATTTATATGTTATCTGCAATAAAAAGTAAAATTTTGTTATAAAAATAAAAAAATTTAAATCGATATAAAAATAAAATTCTTATTTTCCCTATTTTGATTGCAAATTTTAATCAGTAGGGTTTTTTTAAGGTTTGATAAAATAAATACATTACATTTTAAATAATAAAAAGATTGTATTATACTATTTTGAACTAAACAAATTTTTTAACTACAGGGTGTTCCTAAATAAGTGTCGCAACGGAAAACTGTAAATTCCTTTTGAAGAGAGGAACATATTTTTCCTCTTCCATTTTTCTCTCCGGGCTTTCGTTTTCGAGATACACGGTGTCAAAACTTTTTTTCAGATTTTAGCCAATATCTCAGGAACCGTTTGAACTACAGGACTGAGCTTTTGTACATAGATTACCACTATTAATAGCTACTTGTTGCAAATGTTGTCAAATTTAATTAAAATTGTTAATTATTACTACCTATCTTTTGAATCACAAAAGATTTTCGAAACGTTAGCAAAATGTTTTTGTTCATAAAAAGTCATTTTTCTTGAAAACGGTTGACTTTAGAGCAATGAACCAAGAGAACTCTTTTTGTGCAAAATTCATTGGCGCTTCAGAATTTGCTGGCACATGTCAATTTTTCCAGTGGCGTAAAAGTTAGGGGGGGAAAATCCTGAAGATACCTTAAAATCTCCAAAAAAAACAAAAACAAAAACAAAAACACAAAAACAAAAACTCAGTCCTGTAGTTCGAACGGTTCCTGATATTGGCAAAAATTTTAAAAAAATGAAAATTTTGACACCGTGTATCTCGAAAACGAAAACCCGGAGAGAAAAATGGAAGAGGAAAAGAATGTTTCTATTTTTAAGAGGAATTTACAGTTTTCTGTTGCGACACTTATTTAGGAACACCCCGTATAATTGTTCGATGTTTTGCAATGGGTGGTTTTTATAAGGGTTGAAACTTATAAATAAATAATAAAAAATTAAAACAATAAAGAAATCTTAATTTAATATCACTATATGATTAAATTATTCCAAGTTAAATTTTCAACATTATTTTTTAATGATTATTGTCATAGGGGGTAGTTTTTAGGGATTGACAATTTTCAATTCATCATAATTACTTATTTAAAGATGATTTCAACCTATTACACGCTCGAATCTATAATTATTTTCGAATAGGGGTAGTTTTCATCCCTAAAAAATAAAGAGCAGCACCCGGCACAGGGTCAACCTTGAAGTAGAGGGTAAGTAGACCCTAAATCCAAATTTTGGTGCAAATCGGTGCTGTTTGGGAAAATTATACAGGTAACGCCGTATTTTACCTTCGATGACTGGACTATAACTCAGATGACGTGGCTGCCAACTAGGCTTGCCAGGTCTCCGGGTTTGACCCGGAGTCTTCGGGTTTTGATGGTACATCTCCGGGCTCCGGGTTAATATGTCATTTCTCCGGGTTAAGACGTCCTACCCCCGAAATTTGTTTTCCTGAGAGATCTGATTGTTTTTTTTTTAGACATCAATTTTTTTTTTGGACATCAATTTCTCCGGGTCTGTCATGAAATAGATCTGGCAACCCTACTGCCAACCCATTCACCGACAAAAACCAGGTCAACCTGCTAACCAAACTGGCAACACTAATTTTCCGTTATTTCTCAAGGTTCTTGGCAGGTTCGGGTTCCCCCAAAGCAGCCTCATGGTGAACCCCCAACTTGGAGGCATCAAAGAGCTACCTCTAATCGCGGAAACCTCTGAAACCAAATCCAAGTCCCGCGAGTTGCAGAGCGCGATATCCAGCATAATGCCGGAGAACCCGATGCCTCCAGAACTAGGTCCCAACTCCCTTACCTTCGAGGAGTTCGAGGAAATCAACGAGCTTACGAAGAAGCGCCGAGGAAGACCACCGGGTAGTTCGAACAAAAAGAACAAGTTTAATTTGAACGGTGGTGCTTTGGCTCAGGATTTTAAGGACGATCCGGAGTTGAGTCAGGAGTTGGAGCAGTTCGCCACTATGTTTAATTTAAATAAAATATGAAATTTTAATGGATTGTGTCTTCTGAGTGTATTCTGTGGTATTTATAATAAAGGAAATAAATTAATTAACATTAAAGTCAGCAGGTTTTTATTTTCAGTAAAACTAAACTTTGCAAATGTACACCTTTATTGTGCAATAAATAAATAAATAACAATTCTTTTATAGTAAGAAAGTTTCAAGAATGTATCCAACATGTTTCCCCTACCAAAAAATTAAAACAAAAGTATATTCGTCTAACCTTGGTTCTGTACCTAATCTAATCTACTTCTTCAACTGTTGGTCCCTTAGCACCTTGAGCTCCCTGATGCAGTTTCATCATGATGGGTTGGCATTCTTGCTGTAATTCTTTCAGTTTGTCCTCAAACTCATCTTTCTCCGCCAGCTGGTTCGCATCTAACCAAGACAAGGCAGCAGAGCACTTGTCTTGCACCACCTTCTTGTCGTCTTCGGTCAGTTTTTCCGCGGGAGCATCTTCAACGGCCTGAAAATTAAACAATATATTATTTTCTTGTCATTACTACCAGTTATTTTAAAACTGTCATGTTGTTTACACTAACCTGTTTAGCGTTGAAAATGTATCCTTCCAACTGGTTCCTAGCCAGGATCCTCTGTCTCTGCTTGTCGTCTTCAGCAGCATATTTCTCAGCTTCCGCTAACATGCGATCGATGTCGGCTTTGGACAACCTGCCCTTATCATTGGTTATGGTGATTTTCTCAGATTTGCCCGTGCTGGAGTCTTTAGCAGAAACATTAAGGATGCCGTTGGCGTCCAGATCGAACGTAACTTCAATCTTGGGAACGCCTCTAGGTGCGGGAGGTATGCCATTGAGATTGAAAGTGCCCAATAGGTTATTGTCCTTGGTCATCGCTCTTTCACCTTCGAACACTTGAATAGTAACTGCGCTTTGGTTGTCAGCGTAGGTGGTGAAGGTTTGTTGCTGTTTGCAGGGTATCCTAGAGTTCCTTTCCACTATCTTCGTCATGACACCACCAGCTGTCTCAATGCCAAGAGAAAGAGGTGCCACGTCGACTAAGAGGACGTCTTGAATTTGAGAACTGGTGTCCCCGCTTAGAATGGCAGCTTGGACAGCCGCGCCGTAGGCGACGGCTTCGTCTGGGTTGATGGACAAGTTAAGAGGCTTTCCACAGAAGAAGTCTTGGAGCATTTTTTGAATTTTTGGAATCCTTGTGGAACCACCGACAAGGACAACGTCGTGAATGGCGCCCTTGTCCAACTTAGCGTCAGCCAAGGCTTTCTCTACTGGTTGTAAAGTGGATCTGAACATGTCCATGCAAAGTTCCTCGAACCTGGCCCTCGTCACCTTCGAGTAGAAGTCAACGCCGTCGTGTAAGGCGTCTATCTCTAGACTCGCTTCGGTGCTGGATGATAAAGTACGTTTCGCTCTCTCGCAAGCCGTCCTCAACCTACGCAGAGCCCTTGTGTTGTTGCTAAGGTCTTTCTTGAACTTCCTCTTGAACTCTTCCACGAAGTGGTTCACCAGGCGGTTGTCGAAATCCTCACCACCTAAAAGTGTATATAATTTTAGCACCATGCAAATTTTTAGGACGTGGTTTTATCTTACCCAAATGTGTGTCACCAGCAGTCGATTTGACTTCAAACAGCGACCCCTCGTCGATAGCAAGGATAGACACATCGAAAGTTCCACCACCAAGATCGAAGATAAGCACGTTTTTCTCCCCTTTGAGATTCTTATCCAACCCATAAGCCAAAGCAGCCGCTGTTGGTTCGTTGATAATCCTCAAAACGTTCAATCCTGCGATAGCACCAGCGTCTTTGGTCGCTTGCCTTTGGGAGTCGTTGAAGTAAGCTGGAACTGTGATCACGGCATCAGTCACCTTGCCTCCAAGGTAAGTCTCCGCTATTTCCTTCATCTTCGACAGCACCATGGAGCTGATTTCCTCAGGGGCGAACTTTTTTATCTCCCCCTTGTACTCCACCTGGATTTTTGGCTTACCGCCGTCGTTGACCACTTGGAAGGTCCAGTGCTTCATGTCTTCTTGGATTTTAGTGTCGTCGAAGCGACGGCCGATCAGTCTTTTGGCATCGAAGACGGTATTCTTGGGGTTCATCGCCACCTGGGAGAAGATTTTGTCATTGTTATTATCTTTGTTTATTATGATGATAATAATAATATCATATCGTAAGGTTTGTACCAGAAGTCAAAGACTTGTGTGGTGAGGTGCGGCATATTAGTATTATTAACCCAGAAACGACTTTCGTTGGTAAATATCCGCCATTATAGAAATGCAGAAGTGATAAATGGTAAAATATGTGCTTTATGATGGCTTCAAGTACTAAGGCAAATTTTATTATTGGTTCATACAACCACTATTACATAAGTCCAGGAATTTTAAATTATTTTCATCAAAAATGTCCATAAACATTAACCACCAAGGTTAAAGATTATAAAAAAGCGGAATTTTCGAAAGTTGAGTAAATTGTGTAACTTGGTGTCTGTTTTTCCAACAGGCTGGCACCTCTCCAATCGGCTTTAATGGTGGCGTGATGAAACGCTCTCAATATAGCCAGGTTGTTTACTTTTTATGAAATGGAAATCTATTTTTAGAAGCCAAGTTGTTAATTTCATTGTAAACATATGTTTCGTATTTGATCTAGAAGCTTTAGACTTTGGCTTCTGTTATTTTTCAAGTGCTATCGTATGAAATTCGTCTTGTACTTGACAAAAAAAGGTACACTAATTAGGTTTACTAAAATCTTAATAACTACTATTTTTATTAAACAGGTAAATATCTTTGTATGTCTTTTTTTTAAATAGATAATGGAAATATTACCCTTTAAAACGGGTGGTAGAATATATCTTGAAATATCTTAAAAACTATTTCGAGATATCTTATTCAGACTTTAAACTTAGATTTAAGGCATTTTTTTAAATTTTCAGTTCAATTTATCAAAATTAAATAACACTTTCCCCTATTGGTCTAAATAGGTCAATATTTTATAGTTATTGCATAAGTCTACCACTTACACAACATGCCTACTGAGTAAATTAATCTCCAGTAGCTCTAAGACTAATAATAAGTTTAAAATATTAATAAAATATCTCGAAAGACCATATAGATATCTCAAAAATATCTAATATCTGCCGCTCTCCTTGCTTTATTATTCATTTTCGAAAAAAAAAATTGCATAAAAAGTAACAGTTATTTTTTACTATCCTTCCTTAAAATATCGAGAGGCAATTTATGTAAAAAAGCACTATTGAACATTATTTTTTCAAGCTTTTACCATATACTTATTTCTCTTTGTTTGTCAATAGAATATAACAATAATTTTTTACGATTTTAACGAGAAATAATGCTAATAAAAATGATAAGTTAAATTCCAATGTCCAATGTCAATTTTTGTAATAAATCAATCGTCTACATTTTGTTTAAATGCTTTCTATATTGTTGATTCTGGTTGCAGATGTAGTTTCATTTTCAAATTGGTCGCCCTGTTACAGTGTTGCAATTGGTCCCATTCCAACTGACATTTACATTATCGCGGTGACGACTTGTTGAAAGTGAACCGAGTCCAAGATTTAAAAACCCATAGTTCAGCGTTGTGCAAACATTCCTCCTCCTTATTTGGACAAACAGCATTTATAACTCTGCTCCGACAAAAATTGCCAGCCAAATATGTGTATATTACAGCGGCTTGACCAAATTACAGGCGCGTATGGTGCTTGCGAAACTCAAAACTAGACTGACTTTTTAAAAAATTATGTTTTTTAATGGAGTCAAGATAGATTTTGACTTCGCGAAAATTACGGAAAGAGAGAACTTTTTATTTTTCGCTTTGTAAAGTTGTCAGAGACAACATATAAAAAGTTACCAACTGTAGAGTGTACGCTAAATTATTTATTTAACAAATTAGTCACAAAAATTTAAATAAAAGAAAAGTCATCCAGCTATCAGAATTTTATGTCTTTAAACTTGAGAAAAAAAAATATATATAGTACATACGTACAAAGTTACGTCATTCTATAATTTTGTACAATAATAATAAAATAGCTGTCATTCTTTTAATTTTTAAAATAAATATCTGTAACTTTCACAGATTACTCTTCAAATGACGATTGAAACAGTGAGCGATATGGAAAAAATCTTAAAAATTTAATTTGAAAAATATTGAGCCCAACATATTCAATAATTTTAAAAAATCACAAATTTGACTTTTTAGGCCATACTTTATAGATCAAAAACTATAGTTGTAAATGTGATATTAAAACTTTATGAGAGCACTTTTTAAAGCTTAAAATCTCTACTTTAAGATGGTGCATTTTATTTTTCTTAAAAAATTGAAATAATAGTTGAAAAACAAAAAATAACAAAAAATAAATATATTTCATGAAAAATCCATGAAATTTATTGTTAAATAAAGTTTAATAATGTACAAAAAATTTTTTTTTGTTTACGAAAACCATCAAAGAATTAAGTTAAGACCTTAAAAAAAGTAAATCCAGCGAAAAATATTTTTTTTATTTATAGTAATAGGTGGAAAATTGTTATAATAGCAAAAAAATAACGTTTTTTGATTAAGTGATTTAATATTCATTTTTAAAAGGTATATTCTGTATCTTAAATTGTGAATATAAGTTCGAAACCTGCTCGGTGAGTACCTATAGTACGCACATGGTGTATACTACTACATAGAAATATGTATATACTTGCGAAGGGGAATTCTGAAAGTTGTGAGCACACCAAATATTTTTTTGTACAGTTTTATTTATTTTAAAAGCGTTTTTCGTTTATAAGAATTTAATAATTATTATTATAAATGGTATAAGAATATGATTTTTATGTTTTCGAGTAAGCTGCAGTTATCAATGTGTTAAAAATTGTATTATTCACATATTTTGTCCATTTTGAGGTTATACTCTCGTACACTGGTAATTCTTTAATGTAATATTATTACTTAATATTACAAATAATCTTCAGTTTGCATTTAAGGTATTTATATTCGTTTCTTTTATGCTAAACCTGTAAATGTATGAGTTTAAAATTTATATATGAATATTGATCCATTTTTAAAATAATTAATGAATAAATATATAACAGGGGACGTTGATTTTGATTTTGTAATTTTGTATTTAAAATCAGTGTTTTTTTTTCAATTTTATTGGCTTAAAGTTTAATTGCCCAGTAATTTTTGAAGAATAATTATTTTGTAATAAATTTATTTTTTAAAAAATAAAACATATTTTCATTAAAATCTCTTTAGCCGTTTATAATTTTCATTTTTCGAACCTCTATATTACAAATATGAACGAGTTTGATTTAAAATCAATAATTGTTAAATAAATTGTTTAAAATAGTCGGCCATATTGGATCAGCCATTTTGAATTTTCAAATTTTGACATCATATTCTTGTTTAGCGACGTCAAAAACCCCTATATTACAAATCTAAGCGAGTTTGATTTAAAATCAATAATTGTTAAATAAATTGTTTAAAATAGTCGGCCATATTGGATTAGCCATTTTGAATTTTCATTTTCCGACTGACTTCATATTCTTGTTCAGTGACATTGAAAACCCCTATGTTGTCAATATGAAAGAATTCGATTTAAAATTCATTGATTTATTTTAAATGTTCTTAAAAAACTACTTATTATTGTTTAAACAATTAAAAAACAATTAATGTACAAAAATAACTTTTTTATAATACTTATCTCCAAGTAATTTCAAAGGGTTTTAGGAAAATCCATGCTTCCCATAATTATTTCGAAATAATGCGTAATTTTAAGGTATCTGGACTCCACTAAAGTTATTTTTAATGGAAACCATAAAACAAAGGAAAAATATGTTCAATTTTATTATAATTGATATTATTTGTTTCTGACTCATGTTTGTCTTAAAACATATGTTTTTCCTTCGAAATTTTTCATAATTTAGAAATTTGTAGATCAACGGGATGTCTATTGAAAATTCCAAATAAATTATGTCATAAATCTAATAATTGTAATCGTAAAATTTAAGGAATTTTCTAAAAATAATTTGGTAACAGCGCACCTAAATGCAAAATTATTTATAGCACTATACGCTATATAGAGTGTTCCATTAAAAATCAACCAAGTTTATGAAATGTCATACTTTTGTATACATCACCATAAACATCTGAAAATTATTTCAATATACAGTATTTTTATCCCCTTTATCTGTCTATTATGCTTCAGTTAGTGGCAGGTAATAAAAATTTTGAAGGTTATGTTATATTAAAAATTAAGTTGCCAAAAAAATTATTTTACAGAAGTTGTTGTTTCTGGAGAGTTAAATGTACGGTTAAAATTGTGGCGCTTATTACAGGGACGCCCAGTATAATATAAATTTGAGAATAAATATTGAAATTATCGTAAATTTTATCATATTTTTCCCAACAACGTTCTTCTATGTCTCATAATAACTGAGACCCCAACGTATCTAAGTCTGGATCACTCTAGAAAAAAGAGGATATTCGTTCGCCTGCCAAACCGACACTCACCTGGCTCTTGGCGGCATCCCCGATAAGCCTCTCCGTATCCGTAAACGCCACATAGCTGGGGGTTGTCCTGTTGCCCTGGTCGTTGGCGATGATCTCCACCTTGCCGTGTTGCCACACACCCACGCAGGAGTAGGTGGTGCCCAAGTCGATGCCGATGGCCGCTACCTTACCCATCTCAACTTAAAACTACGGTATTACAACTATAATACTGAAATTCACGTTCTACTCGTCTGAAATGTGTGGAATTAATTTTCAGTAAACGTACAGCTTATATCTATAGAACACTGGAACTCCCACCGAAGTGAGTGGATTCCGATAGGGGAGAGCGGGACCGCACGTAGGAAGACAATGTTCGAGATACTAGAACTAGTATACTTGAAACGTCAAACTATTTATTTGGGGCAGAATTTTAGTTTTTGTCTGTTTGTTTGGGTATTTGTAAGCCCTTGCGTCAAAAGCATCACCATTGGTTGTTTTCGTGAAATTATTTTTACCTAACCAAATTCTCATAATGAATTATCGTTGAAAATCAGCAATAGTGGGAGTGATATCGAAATGTTAATGCCACAAGAGCCTCAAATAAATTGTTACTCGTAAAATCAGTAAAAACGTACGAAAAATTTTACTCTCAGTTGAATTGGATAGAAATAAGTAAGAATTAGAATTTACTTTTAATAATATAATATAATATATATATAATAAATACTAATTTACTTAGAAAACTGTTTGTTCATAGCTGGCATCTACCTTCGATATTATGGAAGCTTATACAGTTCAGTATAATAGTTCAGACAGTATCTGTTTCAAAAAGTCCATATTTGCGTGAATCGTATATCCACGGAGATTTTTGGCTTTTTGGCTTTCAAATATCACTAGAAATGAAAATTTTTCTATGTGCAAAAATAACGTGGGCTTAACATTTGGTGGCACAATATGTTTAAAAAATTCGAAAAATGTTATATTTGTCTTCCTATTTAATTAAGTATCTTTTCAAGAATTGATTTTAGGCGAAAATGGAAGAGGAAAAAAATGTTTGTAATTAAATAATTTTTTACAAAATATGACTAGTTACAAATCGAATGAATCATGATTTTTATTGTAAAAATCGAAATAATCGCCAAAAATGGGGTTAAAAAACATTATTTTTTAGGGAATTTTTTTGGGGTCTTTAAATTAGGTGAGGGATCTTTATACTTGGCTTAAGAAAACTTCATGTTATGTAGAATCATCACACCAAATTTCATCAAAATCGGTTTGATAGATTTTGCATAATCATTTTGCAATCAAAATTTTGAAAAAATATTTGCAAATTTTCAAAATTTTGCACAGCACAGCCCTTAGATACTTGAAAATTTAATCACATATAGAAGGGTTCTCAAGCTTTCAAACGCTTTTTGAAATATTCGAATCCGTCAATTAGGAGAGCTCTGGCGCTTGTTTAAATATTGGTCGAATTTTTGTGCTTATAAACAATTAGAATAACTGTGAATATTCAATCAAATCAAATTTTTTAAAGCAGGTTTTAAAAGTTGTTGGAAAAACGCTTCTTTAAAAAATAAAGTTGACAGCCCTTCTACATGTGATTAAATTTTTAAGTATCTAAGGGCCTTGGTTTTTGCTGTGCAAAATTTTGAAAATTTGCAATTTTTTTTTCTGGATTGCAAAATTATTATGCAAAATCTATCGAACCGATTTTGATGAAATTTGGTGTGATGATTCTACATAACATGAAGTTTTCTTGAGCCAAGTATAAAGGTCCTATACCCAATTTAAATACCCCAAAAAAATTCCCTAAAAAGTATTGTTTTTTAACCCCATTTTTGCGATTTTTTCGATTTTTACCATAATAATCATGATTCATTCGATTTGTAACTAGTCATGTTTTGTAAAAAATTTAATTACAAACATTTTTTTCCTCTTCCATTTTCGCCTAAAATCAACTCTTGAAGAGATACATAATTAAATAGGAACAATAATATGACATTTTTCGAATATTTTTAACATACTGTGCCGCCAAAAGTTAAGTCCACGTTTGTTTTTTATGCGCATAGAAAAATTTTCATTTCTAGTGATATTTGAAAGCCAAAAAGCCAAAAATGTCACCCAAACCAAAACAGATACCGCCTAGTCTATAAGTGATATTGGATCAGCCCTTTTAGTCAGTATAATTTACAAAATAATATTTATAAATTTGACATAGCAGTACCTGAATATCTTTTTTTAAGACAATATCAAAGTGACATGTCACTTCTAATATTTTCAGATGAAAATTTGCAAAGCTTGTACAAACTGTTTTATTATTATTATTATTCTTTACTTTCTTGTTACAATTTTATTTCTACGAAAACTCTCAGTTGCCTTTTACGTTCATTTTTTTTAAATAAATACACCGCCAGCTGTTTTGAAATCTAACCAACTTCCATATCATGCAGATTGTAGAACCAAATCGGTAGATACGTTGCCCCGCTCGCCCGCTAATCGCGTTTTAAGTAGGCCGAGACATCGAGAATCTTTTCGCTTGGCATCGGACCCGGTCCAAAAATATCCTCATGATTTATCCGAAAAAAATATTTCTGCTTTATCAGTTTATTTGCGTTGACGTTGATATTTTTCTAGAAGGGGGTAAAAATAATTGAAATAGTAAGATATAAGGCTTACGTCAGTAACATGGCAATATATCCGTCGCGTTGCGCGGCAAAGTGGAATAAATTAACCTTTGGCAATATTTACAGAAAAAATAAAATCTTGCAAATATAAATCTAAATGAATACGCCAAAACTATGTGACCTGAAATGTCTTTCTGCAAATCCTGTATAAATATGGAATCACGGTATTAAAAAGGATGTTGACATACGAACGGGTCATTTTTCAAGGGTAGCATCTTTGGCTGCAAATAAATCGGTTTAGATTGAGTTACAATTTTGCTGAGTTTTTTAAAAAATAATGTCTAATTCACTCTCTTATTAAATTTGCAGTTAAAGTAAATAATTTTTAAGATTTAGACTAACCTTTCTGTATTAAAACGTCAATGTCTATTGAGACACAGGTTTTTGAATGCGATACAGCAAAATAAATTTATAGGTTGATCTTTAAATGGGGGTGATTTGTCCTAAATTGAAAAAAAATAATAATTCATTCTCGTAAATTTCGCAAAAACTTTAATTAGACCAGAATACCTCAAAATATATACTTAGTAAAAATTTGTATCAGTTGTTCTAATATAGCCCATTCTTTTTCGAACAAATAAATAAAAAGTTCTATAAACATGAAGTCTAAAATCAAGATCTAGCTCCCAAATAAACAAATTTTATTACATGATGTACAGACCACTATACATATAAAGAATTCAACTGCGGTTTTACTATATCGATAAATTATTGGTACACACCAAGGATTGACTTGAGTCGTGATGGAAAATTACAAAAATTTATTGAAATATACAGGGTGGGCCATTAGTGTGAGAAAGTAAAATAACTCCCTTGTTATTCATAATACAGAAAAAAAGTTTATATAAAAGTTGTACAGAATCAAAAAACTTAAAGGACAAAATTAATTTGAAACGTACAGGGCGATTAGTAAAAACGGGACACGATAAATATTACATATAGATTTCTGAGAAAATTCTATATATGGCAATATAAACAGTTTAACATTTTAGTGCGGGGTTGCCAAGTTATGTAGAAAATTCTTCTAATTTTGGAAAAACATGACCTCGAAGAAGTTGTATTAACTTTCAACTACTAACACTTGGAGCAAAAATATTTGACATAGTTATAGACAAATGTTAAGTAAAGAAAGACTCCTATATTAGCTAATATCGATATTTTATGCAGGGTAATTTTTATAATTCGATCATTTTTAGAAAGTTCAAACTTGATTTTCTAAAATCTTTCAAACACCCTGTATTTTATTGTTCTGTTTTATTCACATATCAGTCCACTTCAACTTTTATTAAGTATGTTCTACACCTAAAGTTGTTAGTTTTTAAGATATAGCAACATTTCTGGAAGAACCTCATTTTTGTTATTTTCGGTCGCACGAAATGGCTTTAAAAAAAACTGTCATATTGTGTCAACTTGCCAGTTCATAATTTATCATTCCATTTTGAGTTAATTTTATTATTTAATATTTATTTGTGGTGTTCTATAAAACAATAAAAATTAAGTTTTTTCAGAGATGTTGCTATATCTTAAAAACTAACAATTTTGATATAGAACATGCTTAATAAAAGTTGAAGTGGAGCGATATATGAATAAAATAATAAAACTACGAAACAAATTTCCAGTTTGTTGAATGAAACTTATTATTGGCTGTGATCTAGAAAAAATATTTTTTTTTAGTTTTCAATGATATATGACTTTACATTTGTATATTTTACCGAAAAATAAATCTTTAGGAATAAAAATAAATCTTCCTTAACAATGATGTATTGTTAAATTGACACGTTAATAGATATTATATACAATATAAGTTTATGGCATCTAAATTTAACGCAATATATTATTAGATTATCTAAATATAAACGATTTTCTCTTTGGTTGTAAACATGAATTACAATGTGTGATAAAACAAAATATATGTGTATAGTAAGCAATAATTTTAGCTAGAAAACAAAAATTTCTTTTAGCAGAAATGTTTGGAATTAGTAAAATAAGAGAATTTTGTGGATAGGTTGTACCTTTAATTGTCCCGATTGTAGGTCAATAACATGATAAGTAAGAAAAAACGAATGAAATTCAAATACTTTGTATTAAATAGATTAATTATTAAAAAAATAAAAATGTAACGATTTTAGGTTTATTTAATAAAATATAAAAAACAAACATTTTATTTGAAAAAAGTTAAAATAGAATAACATTAGATTTAAACAATTTTGATTCGAATGATTTTAATCTTCTAAACTGAGACATTTATGTTTTAACTGAAAGATATTCATACTGTTTGAATATTTTTGGGTGCTTTGCCATCTGTAGCAACATAGGAAATGGGGAAAAGAAAATATTCAAGATTTAAAAGATATTTATTTTCAAAATTGAAATCTAAATTATTATTAGCTTTGACTTGATTTAAAATAAAATTTATTTCTGAAAAAGTCTAAATGTTCAGTGTGAAAAATCTTAAAATTTATTTAAATATCAATCTGGAATTTAAACGCTACCTAGAAAACTGTTTCACTGTTGATTGTCAATAGATTATGAAATAACAGATAAGGTTTTAGAAAATATGATTTAATATTTTCAAACTAATAAACGTATCTTTTATTAGAAACGATGTGGAAAGATTCTGATAAAATAGAAGTTAATTTTATTTCAATGTTATCAAGTAATTATTGATAGGACTGCATTTTATAAAAAATAAGGAAAACTATAACAATAATATGAGGTATAATATGAAAATAACGTACTTCTCTTCATTGAAGTCCTGTTTTTTGTCTGTTTTTGCTCTGTCAAATTTTTGATAAAATCTAAAAGAAATTGAACTTACCTAAGTACTGCCCAGTTTTCCTTTACATGTTTTTGACAAAAATTAGCTGCAACATTGCGCGATACCCCCATAGCTCTCGAACCTTTCTCCGCGTTCATCTTTCCAGCAACCTATCGCCCATAGAAACCAAACAGGTATAGTGCGCCTCATCCAGGTCCTTGGCTAAACATGTTTATTGTTTACAACGTTTATTTCTGGGACATTATTCACACCCGCACTAATTATAGTCCGAAAACAGTATGCATTGCATAAAAATCGTTATGTGTTGACACTTGCAGCGTATCTACGTGCTACAAGAAAGGTTAGTTTGTTTTTCAGAAAGTCTAAAAATACGGTGGTAAATCTTTTGTTATTTACTAAAGACGAAAAAACACGTGATAAATATCTGTAAAGACAAGTAAACAGCGTTCGACAGGTCACACCTGGATTTCGAAATTTATTTTTCATAGAAAATAGATTCGAAGAATCTCGACCACCAGAGCGATCGTTTTGGCAACGTCGGGAGAAACTCGAAAAATTTATTTACCACACGCCTAGTTAGAGATGAACGCAGAACCGATTTGAACTGGAAAATTTACAGAAAACGTTATTTTTGGAATCCAAAAATAACTGTTTTTGAGGATATATCTAGAGCGATATTTTTATTGTGGTGAAAATTGTATTTTTAAAGTATGTCTATTTCTAATTTCTAATTTCTTTCAATCAAACCTTATAAATATTAGTCTTATACTTATAACCCATTAAACGAAGAGAAAAATAGGTTAAAATCTCCGAATAAGTACTTTCGGGGGATCCAATTTTTATAAAAATTTGGAATTAAGCTTATTTCACCCTGTATATGAAAAGTTATATATGCGGTTCTTATTTTAGGGGATGAAAACCAGCCCTTAATCTAAAAAACTGAATAAATATAAAAATAGGTGTTGTATAGACTGAAATCATATCTTAATATATAGAATAAATATTGTTTTATATTGTGGGTTATAATTTACGTTATTTTTATAAAGTTTCAACCCTTAAGAACAACTCTTAATGATAAAAATATAAAATTAATAATTTCTTTGACCTTAAAATATTTTTATAGCACATATATTATAGATAGAAATCTTTTCAATGGTTTATGGTATTATAAATAATTTATTACAATATTTCACCTCTTAAAAAACTACCCCCAATAATAAAATATAATAATCCAATAAACAATGCAAAATAAAAATTTTTTTTCGTAATAACTTTCTCCAGATTTACTTTAATTTATGCAATATTCAAAATAATTATTTCTCAACATTTTTTTTCATGCAGAAAGTCATAATTTAAAATTTATATATATTATTTTATTATGTATACCTATGAATACCAAAGTTGTGAATACCAAAAATATTGATTTGCTCCGAAAATTGAAGCGGTAAGGTACCGTTGGTTTTTCAATGATAACTTCCTTAATTTTAAAGCTATTAAGACGATCCCAAAACGATTTTATAGAAAATTTCGACAGCTAAAAGTACTGTATAATTAAACATTTTTTAAGGCATTATTTTTGAAATTTTTGAAAAACATGACTCGTCCTCAACTGCAAACTTCTAACGGCGACATCTCTATTAATTTTTATCCTCCACAAATAAAAAAAACAAAATATGCTTTGAAAAAAAATCTAAACTTTTGTACTCTTGAATATTTTTCATATCTTTTTTATTTTTAAAGTTATTTTCAAAAATATGTTACCTACTTTTTTGGAATTATTTTTTTTTCTATCAGAACGTAATATTTTCAAAAATATGCATTCTAAACCGTTTAAAATTATATAATATATTGTTAGCGCATAACAAATGTAAATTGTAGATGGATTTATTACCTTTAATTTTAAATCTCGTGAAAAATTCATCAGTTTTTGTACTGATTTTTTTTTTCGAAATAGCGAATTAACAGTTTTATTTTGTTAATAACTTTGTTAATATTTATGCTAACGACTGAAAGTCAAGTTCATTTTATAGATTTTTTAAAGTACTTTAAAAAATGTTCTTTGCATTCTTCCTGAAAAATAAATTTTTTTTAGTTATTTTACGTTAAATGCTTCCAATTTAGTTTCCGGCGGACATAAAATTATCTTTAACCAGCCGTATCTCAGCACCTATTGCACCTACATAAATGAAAAAACTCAATGTTTTTCTTTTTCTATAAGCTTCATTTTCTTCGTGATGTTCTTTTTTCATAGAATGTCTATGTTCCGAGTTATTCGAGAAAAACTACTGAAAAACGTCTATCTTTTAATAAAAACTGTACATTTTCAATCACCAATAACTCAGAAAATATTGACTTATCGAAAAATGTCCATAAGATACTTTTTGCTTCAAATTGATTGTTTTATCGATTCATGGGGTTACTTTCAATATTTTAGCTTCCACCCCCTGGGCAAAAGCGCTCATCGGCACTATATAACTTTTGTTTCTTGAGCTATTTTCTACTTATAGTCACATCAATTCCTGGACTAAGTACTAGTAGTATTCACAAAAGATACGATTTGAATTTTGTACTGGAAAATTAAGCCAATACTAAGTATTTGTAGCTAGAAATATACAGTTCTACGAGACATTAAATCTACCTATAAAAAGTACATGTATAGTTACATAACTTTTTTGTCGGGAACAATTCATGTTGTTTCAAAAAATTTGATACAAAAAACATTTTTTAAGACGAAATTTTTGAATATATAATTTCTTATGTTTTAAATGGGGATTAAATGGATTCTTAGTAATAAATAAATAAATAAATATTTTTTGTCTGATATCCTTGAATATTACCTACTAGTTAGTTCTAAATAAAGATATGGTAAAATAAATATTGTATTAAATTCAATGGAAAATATTTAATACCTGTCGTTTTTGTATTACCTGTCTTAATATTTAATAATGAAATTTCAGAAATAATATATCAACTTCATCTTCAGTACCAAAACGCACGTTTTTTTCTTAATAGTGCACCATACATTTATAAATGTATTAGATATATTGTCTGAAATTAGTTATTTTTGGAGCAGTATTTGGGAAAAAAGTAATGAAATAAACCCTAGAGTATTATCAGTTACGTGTTATTTTTATGGAGCTAGTTTTCTTTAATCAAAACCGTTGATAAAGGAAGACAAATATAAAATCCACTTCATTTTATCACGCACTTCAAAATGGAGACGACGATTTGAAAATTAATCTGTTTTGATTATCAAAACCTGAACACTTCGCTATTAGTGTAATAAAATAAGTTATTTTCCTTTTTCAAAATTTTGGATTTATACGATCCAAGTGTGATCCCAAAATTTGTATTTTTCAAATTACTGTTTTTTTTTTGTACAATTTTTGTATTCGTTAATAATATTTATAAGTCGGGACGTATTTCAAATATAACCCTTATTAGATTCATAAGTTGTGCTATAAATACAGTTTTTTAAACATTTTTTCAAAGTTTCAAAGTTCATATACTTAGTATTAGTCCAAAAAACTGTTCTAATGTCAAATTTGTTATATATTCTCCTTAATTTTGCCAATAATACAGAAATATATGCTATTATGATTCAATTCATTATTTTTATAACTTCTACAAAAAACTTTTACCTAAGGTTAGATTAAAATAAATTTATTTATTCGTTTAAATTTTACTTAGAAAGAAGTTATTCACTTGTGGGATATTTTAATTTCGCACAAAGTAAATTTAAAAAAACCGCTCTATAAAATTTCGCTAAAATTTCACAAATTTTAAGTTTCCATTTTACGAGCAACAATTATATTTATTAAACAAGCGGAAACAAGGTATTTGTTGCTACGTCTATAGTCTTCATTCACAGATTTTGTCACCCTAGAAACGGTTTCCAGGCAACTATTGACAAAACATAATAACCCGGAAACTGAATCACCAACAGTAATCACATTCGTTGTCTTTCGTCCCAAATGGCCGGCAAGGGCAAGAAGAAAAAGCCGAAGAACAACAAAAACGGCGACAAGGGCAAGAAAAAGGCTGGCAAGCCGAAAAAAACCGGAGGTAGAAAAGGCAGGTCAAAAAGTGCAAGATGTACTGTGGATATCTTCACAGAAGCAGCGATGGAAAACGCATACACCACTTGTCACAATGTCCAGGACCTGCTGAGGTGGAGGGGGTTTCCTTGGCCTGACGCACAGAAGAAGAAGAAGAAAGGAAAGAAGTAATTTAATGATTTTTATACATATTGTGTGTACTATTTAATATTTAATAAATCTTGCAAAACATACAACATGTGAAATCCGTGTTTTATCTTACTTTGTGTTTTTAAACTAATATTTATTCTATACACACTATTGTGTATACAAATTTATGGTGTAGTAAAAAATATATGGCAATTTGATGCTCAAATGGTGCTGGCAAAAATCTTTAGGTAAAATATGTCAGGAATCTTGTAAATCTTCTTTGTAATCTGTATATTTTTAGTTTTTATTTAATTAATAAACAATCAGTCCACTTATTTAGATAAATATTAAAACTTTTGATATCCGTTGTTTGCTTTATCCAAGTATACATGATTCCTAAATAAATTTTTGGAAATACCATACATTATTACGTTTTGAACTAGGTCTTGCAAATATGGAACTAGATTATCAGTTTATTGCCATTAAGAATAATTTTATATTTTATTTTCAGTCTCTGATGCTTAATAATAAATTAACAGAGAACAGACTGGTTTTATTCAAAAAATGCTTTGATGGGACTATTTTCAAAGAATGTCTTTCACAACAAGTCTATTTTTCTGAACCTGGAGTTAAAAACATAAAAATATCCATTAATTAATCCACACCTAGTTTTAAGAAACAAATCTGTCTGTTTTTCAACTGTGTAGGTAGGTAATGTAAACTCCTAAAAATTTCAGTTTCTAGTTCTCCTTACCAGTGCTGAAAAAATATACCTGAATTACGAGCATATCTCATGTGATCTGTCACAAAAGTACTTTCCAGATGTTTGGCGGTGTTCTAGTAAATATTTTGATGTTATGGTGCTGAAAGCACTGAAATAAACAAATGCGTAACATGGGCGTAACATGAGGCCGATATTTTTGTTACGCTAACGATAGTTTTCAAAAATAATAAACCATCATGGCTACTAACTGGAAGAAGAGGCGGTATATTAATACTGGGTATGCTATTAGTGTAGAAACAACCTATTTTCTGTTGTTTTTTTGAGAAGCTAGAAATATGGGATGCCACTGATTTAAAAGGCACTGAATACAGCCATTTCGTCATATTTTCCTAATTTGAATACACGAAAAATCAGCTTGACAGGGACATTTGATTTTGTGCGTCCTGTGTAGGTACATAAAGAAATAACTTGGATTGGTGACTATCCGGAGAAGGTTCGCGATGCTTCTCCACCTTCTAGGTGCCTGTATGTCGGTGTATTCACAGGAGCTATATAAATTTAGGCGAGGTTTGTACAGGAAGACATACCATCTCTCGAAAAGGACATAAAACCATTGGTCCCTTATTATAAGGTGAGGTAAGTAAAGGATCCCCACCCTACCAGTTGAAATTAACCCAGCTGTCTGTCAAAGTTTGCCATAGAGCTTGTAGAACACCCTGTATAGAGACAATAGAGGCCGAATTAGGTGTTTTGATGATACGAACAATATAATGATAAGCCCTCTTGACTTCCCAACCATCAGAATAGAGCTGAAACAGAAAAACTATTTCTTTAATTTTTCTGAACGGCGTCTATGAAGTCAAAGAAAATTTACAGCGCTAAAATTAACTCTTTGCCGAATAGGTGCGTTCAACCTCTTGTTTTTATTGCAAAACACTACATTCCGCACCAAAATAAATAAAATCAGTATTGTTTTTCGTTATTACGTTCTTATTATTTATGACCCTGAGCTTGAAGGAGGGTGGGCGCCCAAAAATAACCCACTGAAGTGTACAGCCTCCAGCAAAAAGAAATATAAGGCAGCACCGATCGTTCCTAGACCTAAATCAATTTTGAGAATCGGTGCGACTACAGTGGCTAGTGAAAAATATAAATAAATAATCAGTAAGTAAATATTATGTGGTTTAAACGAAGTACGAGCAAATTTTACACAAAATTAGCCGCGAAGTGTGGGTTGAATTTGTTTAATTTCGAACTTTTGCGGTGTTCGTATTAAAATTAAATTATTTAATAACTTCTTTGACAAAACATCACGAGTATTTTTTTGTTTTGTGTAAAAAAAAACGAATAAACATTTGATTTACGGTAAACTGACTTGTGTTTTTGGCTTAAAAATATCTTCATGTCCAAACATTAAAACAGTATCCGCTTTTTCAAAACAAATATTTTAATCGGTATCCAAACGCTGTAAATATTTTATTGATTTCGTTTTCACAGAAAATGTCTGACCATCTTCATCTTCACATTGGCAACAAAGCCAGTGACGATGAGAAGCATAACATGGATGTCAACGTTGTCCTTTACCATAAAGGGAAGATATATACCGGTGGGGATGATGGTAAAATAAAGGTAATTAAATTAAATCACAACTAACGTTAGTGACAATAGGATCAGTTATTTATAATTAAACTAATGAGTAAAATTCACTGTAAAATTAACGTTTAATACAATAATACCACAAATAAATAATTACAGATAGTACGATTCAATTCTTTAGATGAGGGAGATAGGAGATGCTAGATAATAATCACGTCTAGACGGAATACTGTTGATTTAAGGGCTTGATAAGTACTATTTTAATTATTTTTAGGAGCTGCAATTATTTTTAAAATCGTGTCATAAATAGCGAAGCTTGTCTGTGATAAAATCCTATTTAATCCAGAAGCCTTCTGCGTGTTTACATGCGTAATAAATAAATCATTGTTGATATAAGAACAACCTATAAACAGTCAGGGGACTAGATGTAACTAGTTAGGTATTTCAGTGCTTGGAAAAGAATTATCACAGTAAATTTAACATAAATGTAAACAAATTCATTTGTACATAGAATACTTGTCACTCAACTGTTGTAAATAATTTTTTAAGCGAAGTAACGTCGATACAGTCCTTACATTTAAAACTTGTAGGTATGGAACACCGACGTGAAGAAGGTAGCGGAAGTTACGGCCCACCCATGTTCGGTTTTCTCCCTCGCTGGTAGCGACGACTACCTTTATTCTTGCTCCAACGAAGGCACCATTAAAACGTTCGACTTGAACACGTTGAAGGAAATCAGCACAGTCGTTAAAGACGAGAAGACTGAGTACTGGAAACTGTTCTACGCGGATGGTTTTCTTTACTCTGGCGATAACCTTGGAAACGTAAGTATAGAATAGATTGGATCCAATTTAAATTGTTTTTCTAAAGCTCTAAATATCATATACAGGGTGCTCGTACTTGGATCGTTACCCAGATATTTTAACACCCTTTTGAATGTCGCTGTGATGAAAAAACGTTTAACAAATAGCTTACACTTGAACCTTTAACATTTTTTATAATTAAAATCATAACACTTCAGTCGATGTTCACAAAAATGTAATAAAACAGATACTAAGGATTTTTTACATTCTTCTAATTGTCTGGTCAAGTATAAACAGATATTTAAGATTAATTTCTTATCGCTAGATTTAAGTATCTACACGTGGATATTTCCTATATCTAGAGATGATGCAAAGACCTCTTAACATAACTTACTTAACAAGTATTTAACTTTGGCAGTGGTCTACTCTACACGAAAGTTTGGGTGCTCGCTTTTGGACTCCTTCATAGTAACAATAAAAACTATTTCTTCAATTCCAGATAGTCGTTTGGAAACACGGTAAAGAATTGGGCGAAACAAACATTTTAGAACCCATCAAGGACTTGGCCGTTTCTGGAAAATTCCTCTTTACTGTCAAAGACTCAGACATGGTTGTGACAGAGCTCCATCTCGACAGTAAGTCTTTGAACTAACTCATCTCAAACTGTATTTGTTTACATTACTTTCAATTTGAATTTTTTGCCAGATGTTCGTCTGGACGAAGAGCACAAGAGACAGATCCAGTTTGGAACCAGGGCTGTGCACATGGGCAGGTACCCAGTGGCCCTTATAGGCAAGAAATATGCCGCTTGCGCCGACAGAGACGGGAAAGAAATTGTGATTATTGAAAACAACGAGAAAACGAACTTCAAACAGTTCACTAAGATCGAGGTACGTAAAGTTTGTAAACAAAACAAAGACAAACTGAAGTGGAAGAAATTTGAATAAACTTTACTTTTGATCTGACTCACGTTTCGCCTCCCATACGACCATTATCGGGAGACGTCGGATGTTACCGTCCTATTGATATAGTGTGTATTTTTTAGGGTGCTCATGAAATGTTGGTAAACGCCATAGCCGGCTGCGATTACAAAGGCCAGACCCTTTTGTTCTCCGGCGGTTGGGACAAGAAGTTGAAGAAATTCAGGTTCGACGAGGACATAGTCAAATTGGACTGTACCAGTGAAGTAGGCTTCGTGGTCAACTCCATCGCGATTGGTGGAAGTGGCGAAATCTATGCCGCAGGAGGCGAGGGAAACCTTCTCCGCATCGAAATCGAATGGTAGAGCTTAGTTTCTTTAATATTTTTACCGTTAAGGATATTTCACAGCTTGTGTGAGGACTGCAAGGCTATTTTTCTTACATTTTACTTTATTTTAGGTGTTTGTATATAATGTTCTTTATTTTTGTACAAGGTTTTCAATATAACTTTTACTAATAAATTATTCTCTTATATATTTCCTCCTCTTCCCTCTTTTCCTACAATATGGGGGGCTTTAATTCTAATATTGAGGTGTATATTTATATGTTTTATTTATATCTGCTAAATTTTCCAATTCCTCAAAATATCTAAACAGCCTCATCTAAAAATAAACAATATAACAACAAATAAAATAAAAACGCAATGGTATTTTTTTAGAACGCTTACTATGGTCATTTAAATTGAATTTCAAAATAGTGACTATCGACGCACGAATGAAAAGGATATGAGAGACCTAAAGTGACAAAAAAAATTGTTTTGGTATTAATGAGAATCTTCGAACTATATATGCGAAATATAAGAATTTATGCAAAACTTTAAGTTATTCTGATACCAAGCAGCACAATAGTTTTGATTAACAATTCTCTTTATCCTAATTTTTTTTGACAGTCAACATCCCGCAGACTCCTAATTGCGACGCCACTGATTACTAATGCTTACACGAAGCTTTGAGCAACAAATAGGAAGTTACATACTGTTCTTTAGTTCTTTGTAATTTTTTTCTATGGTTTTTGAGGAACTAATCAAATCCTTATGTTTCATTTCCAATATTCAAAGAATTATATTTTGTGATCAAACACGTATTGATGTACTGTAAATGTAAAATTAATAAAATTCATAACAGGAACTTTAAATCAGGCAACCAACAATACAGTGTATTGAAATAATGGTCATCTAAAATAATTATATTTCAAGTGAGAATAAATGTAAAAACTGACTATTCTTCCTTTTTTAATATTTAAAGAGAAAATTAATAAGTATGTTCCAATTTTAATTTAAAATTTTCTGTTTCTATATGTATACATAATGAAGGTAAGTACATATATGTATATAGTGAGGATTACACAGGCCAACAAGGAAAAAATTCCAGAGATCAGACAATACGTTTCCGAAGGCATTTAGCGCGCTGAATCCGAATCTGGCCTCAGAATTGATCCATCACCCTAGGTTTCCGAGATATTCTAACCTAAAAGTGCAAAAAACACGTATTTTTGCTATTTTCAAGGTTATGTAACTTGGCGAAATTTTTTTTTTTCTCAAAACTGAAAATATCATTGGAAACTACTATCTTTCCCCTTCAAAACGCATTTTTTTATTTGTAAAAAGCTTTATTTTTCGCGGAGATATCGTCGGTTAAAGATGATCAGTATAGGTACCTTATTACCATGGCTCGACCTATAACACAATATCATTAAGCGCTACGAGCCTTATATGTCAGGAAGGTTAACCCCAATAACCCAATAACCCAATAGGGCTTGGGATTAACCTTCCAGACATATATAGGGCTTGGGGTTAACCTTCCTGACGATTAGGGCTCACAGCGCTTAGTGTTGTGGGGTTATAGGGCTTGGGGTTAACGTTCCTAACAATTAGAGCTAGCAGCGCTCAGTGTTATGGGGTTAGCCATGATGTAATAATATAACCATACTAGTCATCTTAAATTGACGATATCTCCGCGAAAAATAGAGCTTTTTCCAAATAAACAAATGCGTTTTGAAGGGGAAAGATAGTCGTTTCCAATGATGTTTTCAGTTTTGAGAAAAAAATTTTTTTCGCCAAGTTACATAACCTTGAATATAGCAAAAGTACGTGTTTTTTACACTTTTAGGTTAGAATATCTCGGAAACCTAGGGTGATGGATCAATTCTAAGGCCAGTTTCGGATTCAGCGCGCCAAATGCCTTCGGAAGCATAGTGTCTGATTTCTGGAATTTTTTTTTTTTGAAATTTTGTCGGCCTGTGTTATTCCAGATGATAAATATTCATTCCATTATAAAAAATTATATGAAATATTTATGCTTTTCTAGCAACCTCTACATCAGTGACGGTAATTGACTTCCATATCAGGGAGGGCCGAAAAATTTAGGTAGAAAGTATTGAAAAAAGTCAAATATTACTTGGGTAGTTTTATTTTAAGTGCTATTTAAATACAGGGAAAATGTGTCTAACATTTTTTATAGTCAAAGTCTTCTGCTTTTCTCCAAATTAAACTTTTAATTACTTCTTTATTAAAGTTTGGTATTTCTCGCACCACCGATTTTTCAATAGATAGCATTGCAGATCTTTACAATCTAATCTAAACTTTTACAATCTTTTTAAAAACACACATAGGTAGGCAGAGTTTACATCATACGTAAACAAATTACGTTTAATAAGCAAATAATGCAGTGAGCAACTATCATTTGGTTACTGGCAGTTTAAACAGAGCCTAAGCTACTCCCACTCCTTTTTTCACTGCTGCGCGACTGTAACTTTGACCATGACCACCGTTGTAAACACTTTCCATATTTAGGGGCGAGCCACGAGAGCCCACGAATTCAGTGCTTTTCAAATGAATTTTGCAAGTTGAGCTTAATTAAATTAAATTTAATTTACTTAATTATATAAAAGAATTTTCTTCTTCCTGATATAAGCATGACGATTCTAATGCCACTCGCCACTGCTGAATAATTTACACCTCCCTTTCAGCTAAACATTTTTTAAATGTCTACATCTACATGTCAAAACAAACATTTCAAAAATAGTATAATCTCTTTACAATGACTTGGCGCGATAATTTGGACCAAAACACTTTTTTTATAAGATGCTGTTGACTTCGCAACAATTTTTTTTAAACCTCCAGTGCATTCTACAGAAGAAGGAAAAACAATTCCCTGGGACGTAGCCAAGATTAAGAAACTTTGGCTACCAATGTTATTTTCTAAATCCGTTGTAGAATCGACTCGAACTATGTACTATATTCGATTATAGGAAGACGGTAATTAGTTGAAATAAACAAATTCATTTAAAGCAACTGTCGAGAGGTGGACGACATTATTTTGATGTTTTTTTACACGTCTCAAAATTCCGAACTACCTAAATAAAGTTCAGTGACAAATAAGTAGTCTGTCAAGAGTAGGTTGCAATACGTAGTTTGTTCCTAAGGATTTATACCTCGATAGAACAAGCCAAATTCCCAAAATTTTTTTTATTAAAGTTACCTACATGAAGATCGGATTATTTATCAGTCGAGGACGATTTTGCGCCCGAGCGGAGCTAGGACTGGCAATACAGTCCGAGACTGGTAAATTATACTTAACTGCTGCGTGGTGTATAACATTTTATCTGCTCCCACAGTTCTTTATCATTTTGACATTATTCGAAATCTTGCAAAGTCGCCTTGGTTGTTTGGGTTTTATCGTTTGTCGTTCTAATGAATTTTGCAAACTTACTTTGAACAACGTCAATTCCAAAACCTTCGATGGCATTATTGTAGTTGCAATTCCAGATTCTAAAAATGGTATGTCACCTACAGTTTACAATTACTTCTCGTCTGGGTTCTGTTTCTCACCTAGAAATTCTCAAGAAATATATCAAGATTAGATTAGAAATTAAAACTGAAATTTCACGCTTTTTTATGCGCTATCAAGCAGATAGATGTTACAACCAACCAATCGGCAATAATACCCTTTCTATGATTCCTAATAAGATTGCACAGTTTTTGAAACTAGAACATCCTGAAACATATACAGGCCATTCATTCCGAAGAACATCGGCAACGTTACTAGTTAATAGAGGAGTTGATGTATTAGCAATTAAGAGACATGGTGTGTGGAAATCAGCTACAATTTCAGAAAGTTATGTTGCTGACAGTTTAAGTAACAAAAATGAAATAGCCAACATGCTGTTTTAATGGATCAGTCAGATAATTTAGGACGATATTGCTTATAACCTTTAAACGGCAAGTAATAAAGAAAAATCTCTCTAATTGAGTTTATTAGAAAAAAGAGAACTTTTTAACAGGAAGAAAATATGGGTATGTTTCTGGAAAAAAATATAACTGATGATGTCATTGTTGCGGTTACAATTTCCACTCTGTATGAATATTGTTAAAACACGTTATTTTCATAATCATTGTGGTTTATTCCAGCAAAATATATCTGGAAAATTATTTCAAGAAGTGAAAAAGTCGATTTAATAACCTTAGCTTTAGTTGCTTACTAGATATTGTGGGTATAATTCACTGCTAGTCTGGGCGTTAGTCCGCAGAGTAGTTCTTTCCCACAACATGATTTGTTAGAAGTTTATTGCGCCTACTGAGACATTGATCATGGTACACACCTGCAAATTATATTTATTTAGAGGAAGATTTCACCGGTACACCACCCATATATTTGGACGGAACAGTTTTCTAGGAACACCCGATACCAATCGGTCTTTAGACCCGGGATAGGGTTACCCCATTAAATTTTGGCTGCGACGAACGACAGCTCCAAGAATAGCCGGACCTTAACTATATTGAACCGGGGCATTGCACTTCTGGAGGTCCGATCCAAATAGATGGCGTTCCACTCGAAACAATTGCCGAGGTTCTCCCCCTAGATATCCCCTATGCAGCGCTAGAAGTGAAGTTAGACCCTGGTCTAAAAATAACCGGGCCTGAGGTATATTGGCCGACACGTCGTACAGCACGTACAACAAGGGATTTAAAAGGACGGTGTACACATCTGGTGGTAGTGCTTGATAGAATTCCGGCAAGTAACAATTGAAGAAGAAACATAGCGGTAAGTAGGCCTTTGACTTACATTACTTTTAGTGTTTTTTTTTCGAACTGTTTGTTTTTTTTTTGAGGTATTTGTTTATTTTTTTCTATTCATTCAATAATCGTGCATTTATTATTTGTTGTTTGTTCATTTTCTTTTAATTTGCCTTTAGTTTGAATTTTTTTTAGTTAATTTATTTCATGCACTATTAATTTGAATATTATTTCATTTAAAACTAAAAAATATTCAATGTTTGCTTTGGTTTTCGAGTTAATTTTTAGTTAGTTTAATTCTTTTACTGTTAATTTAAATATGGTTTAATTATTTCATTTTTAACACTCAAAAATATTTAATTGTTTAATAAAACTTTAAAGAAGAAATATATATTAAAGTATATTGTATCGTTGTGGTATTGTACCTTTCTTTTATAGACATTCTTTGATACCTACCAAATTTTTAAAAGAACAACTAAGGTATTTAAAGATTTTAAAATTGTCAAAAGTTGAGAAAAGAAATAACTAACAGGTACTTTTCGTCAAAGTGACCCATTCGAATTTCGCGATATTTCATGTCTATAAAAGTGACATTACATGTAATAGACCCTATATTTATATTTTTCATTTATTCGACAGCTACAAATTCTTTATCAAATAAATATGCTTTCTGAAAATTAAGCAAAGTAATTATTAAAAGATGAAATTGCATAGATAAAGCAACATATTATTTAGAAATCATTTAAAGACAAAAAGAATTTAATAAAATTATATTAATAAAATAGAACAATAAGTAATATTTAATCTAACATCTTTCTATTATCTACTGGAAAGCATTATCATCATGTGAACATTTCTCTCAAAAACCCAACTGGCTTTTGCAATATTAACAAATTAAGTGTTCATAAAGATTCAAAATTAACTTTGACGTAACTTATCTTTAAAAAATATTTTAACAGCGTTTACATTACCATTTTTTTCACTGGTACGTTTTCGATTGGATAAAAACAGAATAAAATAAACAAACTAATTTCAGATTGTTTGAAAAGCTTTTTTATCTTGCAGTAAGCCTACACTTCCCATGAAATATCATGTGATGTTATTTAAATAACGAAACAGGGAAAGTGATGTAGATTATAAACGATCTGTTTTTTCTCATTATTTTTAGAGCCACTATTGTGTGAAGTTTACAAAAACCATATGTACGAAATCCTACTAAACTACGATTAAATAAATATTTGTATTAGTTACGTTAAAATAACATTATAAATATCTTCTCCAAATGTATTTGAAGTAACGTCAGATACGTTTATTATTTTAAAAATGAGGAACTATTGTAATAAAAAAACAATGACTTGATTTTGCCAAATGTTTTTATTACATGAAATATAATACACATTTTTACAAGTGAAAAGAAGAAAAAATACAAAGAAAACACTTTCATTTATCACTTTGCTGATTCATGCAATATTGTCTCAACCAATACTAGTCAATTTTTTAAAACTGAAGCTTGAGCTGTTACTTTTAACCAACTATATTTTCGATCAAAAAATCTGTTTCAAGCTTGATCTCGAAGTAAACAGTTCAACGAATTAATTAAGGTTAAAATTGCCTAAGCAAATTAACAAGCCAACAAATGAGACGGAAATAAAGAGGTAAATATACTTAATAGTTTCTTCTTTTCTCTCATCGCCATCTTGATTCAAATCGGACAAATGTTTTTTTCATTTGTTCGTCTAGTCATAAAATTCTTATTTTTGTACCTGTTTGTTATTTTTCCACTCTGAAATGTGTTTGAATTGGCTAACGAACCCCAAACAAGTCCGGTGTTAATTTTCATTAACTTTCCAGACAACGCGCTAAAAATAACACGTTGGGAAATTATTTTACTCCATATTTATAGGCACCGAAATTTTATTTGTGATTAAAACGATTATGGAAACATACCGACATTGATTGAAAAGTGAGCCACTTATTACGGACCTGAATTTCTGTAATAAACAACTAAGCAAGTTTAAAATATTTTATAGGCTTGTAAATGACCCAGAACATTTTCGTTTGGCAGGGAAACACTTGATTGAACACCTGGCATAGAAATCCAAGGGAAGTTTCCTTCTAATGTCATGATTTCATGATTACACGACAAATATCTGACTAAAGCTAAGTTTACAGAAAAACAATTTCGACAGAACTCCTAGCATGTTAATCATTAAATGTGTTGAAACTTTTCAAAGAATTCTTTGCTATTCTTGTTTCTGACAACTTGGAACAAATGTCAACACGAAATTCAGCCAAGACAAACGAATTAATCATATAACAGTTATATCCAATTTTAAAGTATGTCGATATATATTCTGCAATCACACAAAACTCTGCTTAAGTCAAATGTAAATAATTTTTCCAATAGATCTAAGACATTTTCTCTCAGTGATATATTATAACATTTTTGTAAATATTAGAACACTTTTCTCCCTATATAAACATCTAAAATAACGTTAGTTTACATTATTTAATGAAACACATATTTCATTGTCCAAGATACACTCTATATATCTTTCAGCAGAATTGAAGGTTTACGCAAATCTTTCTTTTTAGACGTAACTGTAAATATAATTTAGTATCTTAAAAATAAAGAAATATAAGACGAACTTATGTAATATGTATATTTAAAGAGAAGCTTTATATTTACTTGCTTTATTTTTTCATAGTTTCAACAATTCACACTTGGTTGCTAATTCAAAACATTTTTTTTAGAAAATGACTCTTCGTGTTGGGTGCAGAGCTGATGATGCTGACAAGCATGAGTTTGATGTAAATTCTTTACTTTACCACAAAGGGAAGTTATACAGTGCTGGTGATGACGGTAGGATCAAGGTAGGTGGTGAAAACTTAATCAAAACTAATCTGTAAAAAAAGATTAAAATATTTCTTTATACAAATAAAGTAACACGGTGTCCCAAACTGTCAAATGTTTGGCAGAAATACATATTTACTGAGCTATTTATTAAAAGTAACTCAAACTATGCTAACTGCAACTGTCTGAAAATATTTATTTTGATGCGATCTCTAGTGTCAAAGATAAATATAACCAACCCTAAACATACAGTGTGAAGATCCAATTTTATATTTATACCAAATTATTGCTTCGTTTAACTGACGAGTAACAATTATTGTGAAACGTCGATGCAAGTGTTTACATAGGGGTCGTTGCACTGCATTCAATAAAACTTATGCTCTAGAACTTGCTGGATAAACTTTGTACTGTATACACAAACCCACTCAAAATAACATTCACCAAAATAACAGGCGATGACTGTTGCCAAGAAATTTCCTTGAAATGCGAGAATTTCTAGAGGTATGCATTAAATATGAAACATTCTGCATCTTTGAACAGATTCATTTGCTTGTACTCATTCATTCATAACAAAAATAATATGTATTGACACATGGACACATTTTAATGAAAAAAATAAAATGTACAACTCTTTTTTTTTGACTATTTCATGTAAAACATATTTGACTAAAAAATTAAGTAAGTACATGTTTTCCTAAAAAAATTTACTAGCTTTTATGCAAACCTGTCATTAGTTGTTTTGGACGTAGATATGTCTTTTATTGTTGGATAGAGACGGATAATATTGTTAATATTCCTCCAGGTATGGGCTTCGGATCTCACCAAGCTGGGAGAAGTCCAAGCCCACCCTTGTTCCGTATACTCAATTACAGCTAGCGATGATTCTCTTTACTCCTGCTCAAACGAGGGTACCGTCAAATCCTTCGATCTGACCACACTCAAAGAAAAGGAAGTCTTGGCCCAAGACGACAAGAATGAGTTCTGGAAGGTCTGCTACTCCAATGGGGCTCTTTACGCAGGAGATAATACTGGAAATGTGAGTAGTAAATGTTCCTAATAATGGTAGATGGATAATATTGTATACCTGACCGTAGTTTTCTATTAAGATCACCTTTTCTTACAATTAATAACGATTGTCGATATTGTAAAAAAGGTACTTTACTCTTGAGCAAAATTTACATTTTTCGACAAACCTCGTATACTACTGCAAAAAATTGAAATCTGATTATAACGTTTTGGGTTAGGCCATGCAGAACTTTTTATCAAGAATACCTTTTTTTCCATAAAACCAATAATAAAAAAGTATCCCATATGGTGCCGACTTGATTGGACACATATTGTATATATATTAGGGGGTCTCCAAAAATGGGTAACCTTTATAATCAAACAGGCTGTATAGACTCGGCTCAATGCAACCTAACTGAGTTAGCTTAGGTATAATATTAGGAAAGTTTTGGAAATTCCACACGACTGGGATCTATAAACTGAATGTTTGTATTTTGGTAATAAAATTTTATTTTAAGCCTTGTGAAACAGTAAAACTCTTGTTATTGTTGGGCATCTGGAGCTATAAATGAAAACCAATCAATTCAGATTGCAAACTGAAAACAATGACTCAGAAACTGTTCCAAATATATAACTACCAATCGAGAAACTTTTTTCAGATCATAGTTTGGAAAGACAACAAAACCTATGGCACCCTAAACGTAGCAGAACCTGTTAAGGACATGGCTGTGTCTGGAAACTTCCTATTTTCCGTTAAAGACACAGATCTTGTCATTACTGACGTCCATCTTGGTGGTAAGTCTCAAACTGTATTTATTTTTTTGGCATATATATTTTATTATTAGCCCTAGCATAATAAATCTGGTAAAAATGGATATTGAAAGGAGTTTTCCGAGTGCAAGAGTTACACTAAGTGCGAATTTCTTACAGGTGAAAAAATACAGTTCGGCACCAAAAAGACCTACGTAGGCAGAGCCCCTATAGCCTTAATAGGAAAGCAACTCTTCGCCTTCGCTAGTAGGGAAGGCAAAGACATTATCGTCAACGAAAACAATGACCAGTCCCATTTCAAACCCGTCAGTAAAGTCGAGGTAAGGAATAGTTCGCCAAATTGACAATTTGACCATTTAAAATGTGCAACAATGTACTACCTTTTTTAAGGGAGCCCACGAGATGATCATCAACACATTGGCTGGTACCACGTGGAACAACAAGAACGTCCTGTTTAGCGGCGGATGGGACAAAACGGTGAAAAAATGGAACATCGACGACGACATCATCAAGCAAGACGGTTCCTGTGACGTGGAGATCGTCATCAATTCCATTGCGATCGGCGATAAGGGGGAAGTCTATGTTGGTGGGGGTGACGGGCATATCGTTCGCATTGAAATTGAGTAAGCTAGGAGTTGGATGACAAATTTATTTATATGTATTTAATTTTTTTAATACGTTAGGTAGGAGATATAGGAAAAGTAAAAAAAATGTTTCTAGCTACCTCAGTGGTAGCCGTAGATGAGGCGGTATTTTAATAAATAGTATTGTCTAATACGTTGTATTTTTAAATGTAGCTTTTATATGTTTTGTAATTAAAAATTACATGGTGTTATTTTTTATTTGTTAGAGCGACGTGAGTGTGTTTTATTTAATTTGTATGGATGATTTAAACAAATGTAAAATTAAATAATAAATTCGATAAAAGTGTCTTATTTTCGTATACAAATAACAGAAAGTCATTGGTTAGTACGAATAAAAGGGATCTTGATCAAGATCTACAAAAAGCAATAGAACCTCTGATTTATTTAACAATATAACATACAGAGTGTTTCTGCAATAACTGCATTCCTTGAAAATGTTGATACCACAGAGTGAAAATCATTATTATTTAATGCCTGAATCCTTTGTACATAGGAGAGTGTAATAATTGTTCTTGTGATACACGCCACACGGTACTGTTAGATGTCAAGGCGCCAATGTCGCGAGTACTGCGCCTCGGGTGTTCCTCATCGAGGTTTTTTGTGCCCTTTTCAAGGAACTTATTTCAGAAACACCCTTTATAGCATATAATTCTGATGGTAAGGGTATTTAGAAATGACCCGTCTATAACAATCGAAAAGGACCAGAAGATCACAGGCCAGTGACTTCACTGTGCACCACAATTGACACAGCAAATAAATACTTCTTCTAACGAAGAGAACGATATATTTCTGGAAACTGCCGCGGAAAATTGCAAACCAATTTAAATGGAAAAGTTTTATTAGCTTCATTTAATTGCTCACTTTTACTTGCTTGTACACGTACTTTGAGCAAATGCTTAGTTTTTATTATTACGAGCCATTGGAATGATGAATTTTAAAATATCTGCTGTTAAGTTTTCAACACTGTGAAATAAAGACGGAGTTATTTAGAATTTGTGCTTGTGGCAATATTAAAGTTGACCTTCGTTTATAAAACAATACTATTAGAATTTATTATAAATGACCATGAATAACATCTATAACTTATAACCGTCTTGTTTCGAAAATAAGAAATTAAATTGAAAATGAATATTCAGCAGAAGAGATAACATCGAAATATTGGTAGTGTAAATTTCAATTATGTCGAATTTATGTATTTGAACGTATTTTTTCCCTCATTTAAACTAAAGCACCGTCAATTAAAATACGTAACTAACTGGTAACAATTATTTGAAAAAAAAAAATAATAGAAATTGTCTCATGAAGTTTCGCAAACGAGTTTCCCAAATTCGACGATATTCAATCTGAGGCAGGGCAACAATAAGAAACTATCTCGCCGAAAGACAAGCCCATATACCTACTAGTTCGGAGCGAATTCATGCCAGAAAAATATCCTAAGGCACAAAGAAGTCAAATTCTAAGGCGAAGATCGCTGTAGGAACACTTTAATTACGTATTCTTCAAATACATAATTTGATTAAAAGTTCCTGTTTTAAAAGGTTCATAATTACTAAAATTAGAGCTAAAATTTAAGCACAACACTATCTTCGTACTCCAAAATCAATACATTTTATTTTATTTACTTAAAAACTGGAAAACAATTGTCTTGAAATTTACTAAATGTTTCACAATAATAGTTGTTTACATTTTTTACCGTAGGACAAGTTCGAACTTATTTGGTTTAACCTTATATATAGGTCACCTTATAAAGTAGGTATGTAATACTATGCTTTATGAATATAACTGTTACAAAAATTGGAAAACAGTAATTATATTTACTCTTTGTCACAACTGTTAAAATATATAGTTGATGTCGATATTATTTGCCAATTAAGTTATGCTTCATATTTATGTCTATTTTTCAAGTTTTTCCATAGCTGAAATTTGACTTGACAATTTAACAAGCTCTGTACAATTATTAACTTGTTAAACATTTTGCTTTGGTCGCCCTATTAAAATCTTTGCATATTTAATTGGTTTGTACAAAGACAATGCTAATAGCAATACATATTCATCGAAGTACTGGATCCAAAGTAACGTAGAAATCTATTTAGTTTACCCTACTTCGGGATATAGGTATAGCAGATTCATGCCATGTCGGCTATCAGTAAGGAGTTATTTTATAGAAAGATCGACAAAAATGCACATTGCAGTGACTTGCATTACTGGGAAAGCAGCTGCCTCAAAGCAGTAATCTCACCTTATTTTGTGTCTAATGTAGTCAAAGGAACTGCAAAGTTTTTCTTCCCCATCTATTTGGTGAGTTCCAAAATATAATCTGACTTTCTGCATATAATTTACTAAAATGCTAAACAACAAAATATGTCCATTTCTGTTCATGCAAAATTATATGAGTTTTTATTGTACTTTTCAGTTAAAGCTAATGATCAACTACAAGAAAATAAAAGATGTAGAATTTATCAAAAGTTTAGTCTTAGCAGAAGGTACTGCCATTTTATATGGTGTTGGCTTGGGGTCTTTAGTGATAGCCACACTTTGCACGCTAAGGTAAATTTTACAGTACCAACATGTATTTTTGTGTTTTCAGATACTTATCCAAAATGTTTATTGTTTTCTCCAAATTTAAAGAGAGACCGCATTGGCCTTGACTAAAAACAAGTGTACTACTAAACAAATTTGGTGCCATTGCTATACATGACTGTATGAATGGGCAAACACACATTTATGAGCGCGTTCATTTTTAGTCATATTTATGAAAATAAGTACAACGAAGACTTTTTATTTAGACTATCTTTAGGAGTAACTGTATTTTATTATTATAACTCAAGACAGACCTATTTTTCAGAAAAATATTTGGGAGGATCCACTATTACAATGTGGTCGTTTTTCCTGGAATAGTCTCCGGTTTATCCTTACTAATTGAAACAAAGGAAAATCAAATCTTGAACACCCTAATATTTTTTAATTCGGTAAGTATCTACACACGAAATCTAAACACTTATACATAAAAATAATACTATTTCTATTTATTTAATTTAACATTACTGTAGATGTCAGTTTGTAGAAACTTTATTAAATGATGTCAACTTTTCGCTCTTCGAAATAACAGAAACTAGGGAAGTTTTATTGTTTATGGCAGTCAGTGCCGTCTTGATGTATCTTTTGGAAAACCGAACAAATGAACTGAACATGATATATTTTTGGTAAGTAACATTAATTTCAAACTTTCCACGTTGTACAATATTATCGTAACAATATTATCGTTGTATTTTAATGTAATCTTGAACTTATTGTTTTAATCATTTAATTGCCTACTGAGGGAAACAAAATACTGTTTCAAACAAAATTACTGGTCACATCACTTTTTCCATATGCAAAAATTATTTTTAATAATAACGTTTTTGTAGGTTTTATACTCCACCCAGGAGGAAAATTGTCGATAAACCTGATGAGGAAAAAGCCTGCGATCATCCCAGCAGCTGTTGGAAGTTTTGGAAAGATGTACGATTTATTCAGGATTTATAAAAGATCTTACAAAACATTTGAGTATTAATTTCTATTCTTCATACTCTACATTTACATTTGTCTAAACAACTTTTTCATGGGAGTTACAAAACCATACTTAAAAAAACGGGATTAATTTTATGCTTATTTCTGCTACTGGTTAGTTATAAACTCAGAAATTAAACAATTTTTAGGGATTCGTGAAATACTTCTCCTTAGGGTATCTTGTAAATGTGGTTCGAGGAGCAATTCCCAAAATAGGAAAGTTAGCTAGAAATCCTCGGACTTTTATTAATTTATTATTGAGCACATCCAATGTTAAATTTGGCCTATTCATAGGTGGCTATGTGGCGGTATACAGGGTAAGATCACAATATTATAAAACTGTAGTTTTACAAAAACTCAAATTTAATTTTAAATTTATGAAATACATGTACTAATTTGTCTAAAGAATGCATTTGAATTGTATATGTTTCTTCATCTCCTGTTCTGTCTTTTCCTAGATGTTAACTTGTTACTTACTCAAGTGGGGCAAAATAAGAAGGAAATTTCACGGTTTATTAGCTGGACTTCTTTCTGGATTAACATATGCCATCTCGCCAAATATTCAAGTTGTAGTTGTAGGAATTACCACAATTTTACAGGTAAAAATGTTTTACACAGAAAAAAAATTAAATCTCGTCAAGAAAATATTAATACATTTTTATGAACGTACTAAGCGAAGACTTGCTTGTATTAAGTAAACTCTTTTGCAAGAAAAAACATTTAAAGGAAGCAATTCAAGATGGTAGTATTCAAAACAATATTTTTTTGTGTAACTATCATTGTTAACAAATTTTATCGAATCTAAAAGAATGTGGATATAGTTTTTGTTGAGATATAACACGGTGCTGCTGAATAATTCTTAATTGATGATTTTGCAGGAAACAACTACTTTGCCTACCACTGAATTATACCTTGTAATCAGCATCATTCGTCAGCAGAACCGTCAGACATATACCGGTTTTGAAGTCATTACTTTAAATCTATGTATGGTCACCGTTAGTCAATGTCTTGGCTTCAATATAATAATAATTTTGAAACCGGTATATGTCTGATGGTTCTGCTGACGTGAGACCCTAGATGTTTACTAGATTTTCGAGTATAAATCAATGCTGATCGGAGCTTTAGTCCGCAGAGTAGTTGGTTCCCGCGGTATCATCAGCTGAAGAAAGAGTCCTTGTCGATATTTTCAGATTCTCTATGCCAAGCTGAGCGATAGATTGAATATAAAGAACAACTTTTGGCCACGACAGCTGTTGTATATGGTCTGCCATGGAGTGCTTTTACACAAGAAGATATTTTACCCAAACCTTTGTTCTTCGTACTACAGTAATATGATCGACGCCTGTACGAATAATGTGTAAGTACATATATTTTGACCAACCCCTTTAATTTTTTTGTTTTAAGAGACAAAAAAATGTGAAATTCGAAAGTTGCACGAATTTACAAACAAAATGACCGCGGATGTTAACTTTGTTAATTTAAATTGAACACCCCGTATACCTTTACATGTTCGGATAGAACGTGCATCTTTTGTATTTCACGTTTTTTATGACTCAAAACAACAAAAAAGTTAAGGGAGGGGGTCAAAATATAGTGAATCACCCTGTACATACAGACTTTCTTATAATTTTTTCATTTAATCGCGTTTTCCACTTATGTACTCATTTCCAGTATAAGTATCTTTTATTATTCGAGTTGACAGTACTGGAAAAAAATATACTGTGTGCACTGAGTGAAAAAGTACAAATAAGCAGTAGCGGCTGGGGGGGCTCTGGGACGCTGCCTCTCCTAGAAATTTTCATGGTAATACAATTTAATTTAAAATTTAGTTTACAATGTTATAATAATTACATTAATTTATGAAACGCTAAAAACACAATGTTAAATTTGTAATGTGCAATCATCACCTCTACATCTCTAAAGTGTTTACAGCGGTGGTCACGGTTAGCGATGCGTAGCAGTGCAAGACGAAGTGGGAGTAGCGCATATTTACTATTCAGTTTGAGCTTTGTTTAGTTTGTTTCTTGTGTATTTTTTAAAAAGTTGTAAAAGTCTAAAATGGTTGTAGGAAATTCAATGGTGCGAGAAATACCAAACCTTAATGAAAAAGTAATTGAAAAGTTTAATTCAGACAAAAGCAGAAGAATGGAATTATACTTGATTTTTTTCCGATACGCTATCGGCGATACCTACTTTGTACCTAAATTTTTCCGCCCCTCCCTGGTATCGAACCCAAGAGCCGCCACTGCAAATAAGTCAAAAACGCTGTAAAATTAGTACAAAGAATACTCCCTTCTCATTGCTAGGTATTTTACCAACGGTTGTTTCAGGATTCCTCAGATATATGAAAGGATTATATCAAAATACTTCTTTGAAGAAATTGGTAGAAAGCACGCCTTCAAGTACATCGGTAAAGCTTAATTTTCAAGCGCAAATTATTTGTAACGTGTATGTAATTAATAATGGCAATAAAAAACAAAAATATATATAACACTTTATTTAGAAATAACTATATTTTACACAAACTATAATTAACTTATATATGAACTATTCACATTACATAACGATGAAGAAACAGAAATTAAGTAAGGAAAGTTCTGGCACTAGCAAATAACGACAGGGTGTTTAAAAATTACTCACCAAAACTAAATTGTAGATCAGAATTTTTATTTAGATATACCGACCACGACTGTTCTATTTTTTTGTGATTAAGCCCATGAATGTAGTACGTAATACGATAGCGTTCCCGGTACCACCCTGTATGAGGAAAACTTTTACATGCAGAGAAAGGTTGCGACACAGATCGAACCAGTGAAAGTTACCTGCTACATACGAGTAAATATGAGTTAGTACCTACTGTGAGAATAGAAATAAATTAAATTTTATTATATTATGCAACGACCTGGGTAGGATCTTGCAAGGATGCATACCCGTGTGAACAATTTTATAATTACTGGTGTTGTGAGACAGCACGTAAAAATTTCTTCAAGTACGAGTGTTATCCCCAGGTATAAGATCGTGACTGTTTCTAACAATTTTTTAACTGAATGGCATTATTCCTTTTTTCTCGAGACAGTTACACCAAACAATGGCACATTACGTTACGCTTTGGTAATATCAATTTTAAAAGCAACAAATATATTTTGTGTAAACTGGGAAATGTTAGAACTAGACTTGATGAGGATGTATCAGAAACTGAGATGTGACCAAAACATGAAACGACATTCCTTTTCAATGCCAAAAGTGGACTAGTTTTCCTGGAAATTTAAGACCTCTGAAGTCACCTCAGGGAAACGAATCTAACAACATCTAAGAACACTCTTTTAGCAATAATTTGATACACCGTTCTTCAATAACGGTAGCTCCATTCGAACCTTGAGTCTACTGGTCTGCCCAGTAACTTGATATATAAACCAAAAATCAGTGTGGACAAGGAAGTAGATTTTTTTGTAGCGTAGTAATAATACATGTAAATATACTTTTATAAATAATAATTACATATTCGTCAATTCTCTTTATAAAAAAATGCTAACGCGACTACCGTCTCTTAACCTACAATTTAAAAAAATAACCTAGTTCCTCTGCCTGTTCTTGGCTTGCACGGGGATAGCCCCGGGAGGAAGATTGGGCAACTCAGCTTTTCCGGGCCTGTNTTCGCCATATTTGATCGAGTTTAAAGAACAAGAAACTCAATTTAAAATTTAATTTTCTATACGGTCATATTTTTTTTGTCCAGGTAATAATTTCTGTAAGCATTTCTCTATAATGCTTGGACTATATAAGATCGTGACTGTTTCTAACAATTTTTAAACTGAATGGCATTATTCCTTTTTTCTCGAGACAGTTACACCAAACAATGGCACATTACGTTACGCTTTGGTAATATCAATTTTAAAAGCAACAAATATATTTTGTGTAAACTGGGAAATGCTAGAACTAGACTTGATGAGGATGTATCAGAAACTGAGATGTGACCAAAACATGAAACGACATTCCTTTTCAATGCCAAAAGTGGACTAGTTTTCCTGGAAATTTAAGACCTCTGAAGTTACCTCAGGGAAACGAATCTAACAACATCTAAGAACACTCTTTTAGCAATAATTTGATACACCGTTCTTCAATAACGGTAGCTCCATTCGAACCTTGAGTCTACTGGTCTGCCCAGTAACTTGATATATAAACCAAAAATCAGTGTGGACAAGGAAGTAGATTTTTTTGTAGCGTAGTAATAATACATGTAAATATACTTTTATAAATAATAATTACATATTCGTCAATTCTCTTTATAAAAAAATGCTAACGCGACTACCGTCTCTTAACCTACAATTTAAAAAAAATAACCTAGTTCCTCTGCCTGTTCTTGGCTGGCACGGGGATAGCCCCGGGAGGAAGATTGGGCAACTCAGCTTTACCGGGCCTGTTCTTAGGATTGTTCTCCGGCAAGTTGTCTTCTTCCTCCTCTGGCTGTGGCGGTGGTGGGGTACTGGGGATGTCGCAATCGTCAGTTGGGGGTACTACGCATCTCAAAGAATGACGATCGAACACCAACATGGCGGGACACCTTTGCAGGCGCGGGTAACCACCCTGGCACTGCCAATAGCGGTTGCAGGATTTGCCCAGTGGTACGTTTCCGTTGGGATCGTCGTTGCAAAGAGCTGACAATGAAAATCGTCATTGTTTGGTTAGAGAGGAATGTGAGGTGTACTTACGGTGCTTTTGGCATCCCTCCACGTTTTCCGGCCAGTCGCAGGAATGCGTCCTCTCGTTGTATAAGAGTCCTCCTATGCAGAGTTGTTCTGTGGCGGTACCATTCCAGCACGTCCAGTATCTGGTACAAGACGTCTCGTGGCCGAAGATGCCGTACAACCAGGCGCAATGCTCGACGCCAATTGGTGGATCTAAAATGGGAAGTTAAAGAAGTTATTGGAAAGACAAATTTCCATTAACAGAAACTTCATTTCAGTATTTGAAGGTGGATTTTGGCCTTCATCTATTCAACTAGGTAATGATGACCCTTTGGTACTTACTGGCTTGCTGCTTTCCTTCGCAGTAGTTCGACCTCCATGGGTAATCGCATCCCTCTGTCACCCCCCTGTTCTTACCAGCGAAAACTAACCCATTGGGGCAGTCGTATAGCTCGGGTTGTCCGTTCACGCACTCCCAGTACCTGTCGCAGTACGTTTCGTCCCCTATCACTCTCGACTTTATTTTGCAGGGGTCTTCTTGGGTACCCCTCTGTTGACAGCTGACATAACCTAGAAATATAAACAATTGTTGCAGTAACGGAAATCTGTACATTTTTGTATATAATAAGTGTCCCAAAAGAAACACAGGCTTCGAATGTGAGCGCTAGCCAGCGAGTGAAGATTCTGAAAATTAATTTACAAGTACGGAGAGTGTGTAGCTGAGATTGTGCGCAAATTAGGTGCCAAATTTGAACAGACAATTACATATTTAAAAAAGCACAATGCAGCGGATTGTAACGACAGGATGAAGTTGCAGATCTTGCAGTGTTATAAAGGAATGTTGAAAGCAGTTTGATTAATTTTTCAGTTGTATTTTCTAGTGTTTATTGTTTAATTTAATTTAAATTCTCTGGGATGTAAAACGGTTAAAATAACTAATTTAATGAATTCTTTCCAAGGTCGCCAATGCCAGAAAAAGTAAAAATACTCTTGCATTAAATAATAGTAGTTGACCGTGAATACGTTAGTTAATCCTGTTTATTATAAAATAATTTTATAAAACTGGTTTATCTTCGGAATATGTATAGTAGATGATCCATTACAGATGATATAATAATGTGATTTCCTGTAACTGATGATGTCAAATTGACTGTCTCACGTAGTGACTGACTTTATTCAAGCACTCCTCAAAATGATATTGAAAATATGAACCAGTATATGTTCAGTATAGTCATTGTTTTTTAATTATATGGTACTGAACAATTGAAATGAATGAATTTCATGGATCCTATAAAATTCGTGGTAAATGAAGATGTAATCTTTCATACGTGTGATTTTACGTAATTTACATTACAAACCAAGATTCTGCGAAAAAGAAAGTAGTTAATCTCTGTTTGGATTTGGAACACATGTGTCTATCACTAAATTCAATATAAATACCTCAGACAGAAAAAAAAATTATATACCACATGTGAGGAATTACCTTATTGTTAGCGAAAGCTTTTAGCAATTTGCAATAAAATATTTACTTTCTATTAAAGAGAAGGACATGAAATATTTCAGGAAACGAATTTGATGACAGGTAATATAGTAAACATTATGGTTTTCAGTAAAAGCAATTAACACATAATTTATAACTTAAATAATAAACATAACCACGTTTTATTGAGATGTTGGGTGGCTTTTGTAGATTTCGCAAAGCTATGGAAACCCCATTTTACAGGATCAGAAACTGTACGTTTTCCATGTTCAGTTCTTCAAATAAGGCGTCTTTTTTTTCTCAAATTCGAGGTAGACAATAATGATCCAATGTTAAGTCGAAGTGTGTCAAATATGTACTGGAAAAATTGAATACTTTAATTTAATTTCTGCAATTATAAGAATGGATTCATTATTGAAAAAAAAAATGTATTTTTTCTATAAATTTTTGTCACTGGGGAATTAATTTTCGAGATAAAAGACATAAAAGTTTTGAAAAAGTAAATAATCTTTCGTGAAATCTTCAGAAAGTATAAAACTTGTTTTTTTCTTCGACGTTAAGTAGCAGCAAATCAAATTAGAATAGAAAAGGCATTCTGTGTCACCTCGCGTGTTGTTCCACCCATATTGCACAATAATGATTTGCTCAACTTCTACTGGGAGCATATCTTACTCCAGTAACATGATTAACAAACATTTATTTAACAGATAGTTTGTTTAGTCATATGAATCAACGCACCCAAATGCTGTCCATTCATATTTTATTATCTATATTAGAAAAGACAATGAAAACTACTTCTTTATTATGTAAAAGAGTGGCAAAATAACACTAGATTATTTACCTATTTATTTTTTTATAGGTAAATATATGCAGGCGCATCGAATTCGAAATCTTTAAATCCTCTTTTTACAAACAGGTTAGTAAAGTTTTTGACAACCAAAGAAAACAACAAATATCTCAAAAATTATAAATTTAATCTTTACAATGGCCACATTAGACAAAAAAAAGGTGATGTAACTATACAAAACTTTAAGCAAAATAAAGAGAGTTCGATTTGAAATAAAAATGTTTGAAATTGACGAAATGTAACCGGAAAAATAGAGTGCTTGGTCTATTATTATTGAACTTATGTAATTATTACAAATTATAAAACTTCGCCATCTGCCAAAAAGGTATAGATTTTTGCAGCTATCAAATCTGAATTCAATATTTCTGTTTTTTTTTGTATATTTATTCCAAATGTGCAAAAATATACAGTATATTTAAAATAAAGAAGTCAAAGTCATCCTGGTGCACCTTGTACTAAAGAAAGGTCGTAATAAGTATATGACAATATTTGAAAAGTATCAACTGAACATTCTGTGCAACATTCAACAAAATCATCAGCTTATTTTCGAAGGTTTGGATAACAGCTACAAACTAACACTACCTTCTAATTGGAGAAAAATACACCCAGAGCAGTTCTGAACGTTGAATATATACTTTACTTCCTGTATATTAAAAAAATCCGTGTTATGACGTACTCATTAAATCATCAATTACATTAATTAAATCATCGCCGTAACAGTGTCCGATATTACTCAACAGCACTGTTAGTTATGCGTTATTATTATGTACAGTATTGAATAAATAATTAATTACATATAATTCTAGCGGACTTTGATGAAAATAACAGTATAATTTTCCTATTAGCTTGCTTGATTTTACAACTTTCTGAGCGTTTGGTTATACAACGCATTCCTACATAATATATTTTATTGAACATCCTATTAACTCGCTTTTAATTTGAATATCCAGACGAAAGATGCTGGTTACGAAAGAGAAATAACTACTGAGTAGAGGTGTAAAAGTTGGAAAGAAAGTTGAAAAGTGGAAACTGTAATAACGCACAGCGTTGCTTTCATAATTAAAATTCTTTATACAATGTCATACTAGCATAAAACAAAGTCAGTAAATGGCATAATTATTTTTTTGTTCTTCATATTTCGTTGAAATTACTAAAACTAATATTAAAGTAAAGGTGGCCCAACCTTTTTGAGACACTGTGTATACTTACTTTAAAACACGTAAATTATATATACCTATGTGATTCCTTCTCGTATCAAATATGAAAAAAATTGAAACAAATACAGCTTGATTATATTTCACTAATACGGAACCAGCTCCTTCCGAAACAGTTTAGCTTACCAAAAAAACGTAACTGATTTATATTGGCAACTTTTTGCCTGGAAATAGCATTCGCGGTAGCCATGAGATTACTTTTTTTTAGTTAAATTACTTAACGTTAGAACGGGTTTCCGAGTACAATAATAAAATGCAAACAAAACAAAATTGCAACCAGTTATTTACCTAGGATTTTTTCCTGTACAGTTCCTGTGCGAGCTGGCAAGTTCTGACTGGAATATAAATAGTTTCTACAATTAATGTCTCATTCTCGGTATTGCGTCTGTCGCTTGGGGCGTTAACCGCTAACTGTTGTGGAAAAATTGTTAAAAATTTCATCACGTTGCATCGGGAACAATAGTCACGGTTGAAAATGGCCAACAATGGAGTTATTTTTTACGTAAACAATGTTTCAAACCAAAGGCCGGCATCAGAATGCTGATAGGTTGTTCCTTTTATAAATATTCGAGTCTCCAAGATTTTTCCTAATAATCAAGTATGCCATAAAAATAACACATAATGTTAATGACGGTGTTATACGACATGGCGCCCAACGTGGAGCTCGATCGTCCGCAACTCCAAGGGAATGTGGAACAATACGACAGCACGCCTACAGGTAACACCATTCGTGAACGCCCCGTATACCTGGAAAGGATTGCCTACAACTTTGAGCTTTTACCGGCACTAATTGCCCATAATTTTTTTTTACTGAAATCTTTTCCTTGATATCAAGTAATACTTGTTGTACATTATCTTAACCGTTTAACGTTTTCTATTTTTCTTTCAAATTTGTTAAGTAAATTCATTAATATTCGCCGGTCGCTAGTAATTTATTCACGATCAATGAAAGACTCTTACTTTTCACTGCACCTTCGAACGGCTTTCTAAAACCATGGGCGTGGAAGACGAACTAAACTGTACCGACCGTCTACAACTTTTAAGGACAATCTTCGTGCGGAATCTGGGTTTCGCCATCGTTGTGTTGTAGATAAGTTGATGAATGAATCCACTAAAAGTTAAATGACAGTGAATCGTGTTCTGGTCACATGAATGTAAATAACGATTGATTAAATATCTTATGAATGCTTTTGATTGACAGCTCTTTGCTTATGAGAAATGTAAGTTTTTCCTTGTCAAACAAAGATGACGTGTGACCTTTTGGTGGTTTTAATGTCAATGAAAACTTCTTGTATCATAAAAAATCGTTGCTTAAGACATGTTTAATTGTTTGTATACTGTAAAAAATTTCACTCAGATTTCACTTAATTTTACTCAATAATATATTAAGATATAGTGAAATTTTCACTCTATTAGTGTGGGTACAGCTGAGTGAAACTGTTGCATAAGAAATGAGTGAGATTTACTCAAATCCGAGTTATTGCTAACTATCAATTTGACTCTATTCTGAGTATATAAAACCTATTTAGAGTCGACTTTTTCTCTAATATGATTTAAATTTAACTATTATTGTGTCATTTTTTACTCAGACTTGATTTTTAATTAACTAAATATTGAGTCGAATTAATTAGGATATACAGTGTTGAAATTAATTCACTTCGCGGGGCCTCCTCATGTCCTGGCTGAGAGCCGCCAGCTGAGACCCGCCGCCGACGGCTAAGGCCTATTTTCCTGGCGATCACGCTTTTCTGGGACATCTATCGGGTCCCTATCAACTGTGGTAGAGATTACAGAAGCAATATGTAACTGGTGACATCTTCACGGCGCCATTCTACTTACTCGAAATTAATATACATTTAAACTGATTCAGTAATAAGGACATTTACTCTGATTTAGGTACAAGTGCACCAGATACGAGTTTGCGTGAAGAAGGAGTGCCTATATTTAAGTGAAAGTACTCAGTTTTAATCCAAATATTATCACAAATGAGTAAAATTATGAAAATGCTCAATATTGAGTGAAAGTGTAC